TCATATGATTATTATTTAATTCTCTATTTGCAATTTCACCACAAGTAAGACATGTGTATTACAAGTTTTGCATTTTTAATGGCAAACTTTAATATAAATTTAAAATCACTTTAGCAACTAATCACATCCTCATTGTCCTAATATTCTCCTGGACAAATGCAACTATTAATAGGATCAAACATACGTAAAGAATTTAAGGGGCAAGTTAAACATTTATCTGATTGAATTTCACATTTATATGAACATTCGTAAATCAATAATTTAGTTATATACAATGCTTTTCCTGGTTCTTCATAATATCCATCAGCACACATACAAATATTGCCTTATAATGATCTAAAATGAGTATCAAGTGAACAAGCTATTCAAGTATCTGCATTTTTGTTTAAGCATAAGTGACATGAAAAATGACATTCTATTCACATATAAATTGAAGAAAATACTTTCACATTGTAATATTCCAATGTCATAATATCCATCTGAACATATACAAGATTAAAAATCTAGATATCTATAATTGTTATCACAAGTCAACAATTTAATAAAAGTGGACAATCGCATGTTAAACAAGATTCACATTCTTGGCAAACTGATTAGAATCCATCATCAAAAATATGTAAAGATGCACAAACACATTCAAATTAAGTTGCTAATAGATCAGCTGATATTCTAGTTTAAGGACATTGTTAACAAGCATTTTTCATTATTATTTGAACATAATAAACAAGAATAATGGCATACTATTAACCATTACATAAATTAATTACTTTAACATTCAATATTATTAGTAAGATTTCATAATATGATGTTTTACATAAGCATTCGCCAAAAGTTGTCAAATAACTATTTGAGTCTTCTGAACAAGAAGTAAAATGTGTAGTTTCAAAGTCATTAAGAATTCCACAAGTACAATCACAAACTATAAAATAAATTCGAAAAAATCACCTAATCATATATCACAATCTGAAACATATCGATTTTATCCAGGAATGCAAATTAAATAATATTAATTGGTAGTTTCATCAGATACTTAGAAATATGTTTAGCATTACGGATGACATTCTGTATTATTAATAATTATGAATACTTCCACATTTTGATCTTTTGATTATAAAATCAGCATATCCTTATTTAAATGGACAAGAATTAGATTTTGAAATTCTATTAGATATGCTTTCATCAACACTTTGAGTATAAATTATTTAATTTTAATTTTATAATATATTATGAATTTGAAGGACCTGAACAAGTTAGACAACTAAAATCACAGACTAAAATTTTTATTTAAAATATTACCAATACATATCGAATCATCATTTAAAGGATCATAAGAACCTTCTTAACAAATACATTCTTTATTCACTAAAATTCTATTGAAACCTGGTTTACATAAAGTACATTTATTAAAATCTTCCATTTCACATTCACTACAAGAACCATCTGCACAAGGTTTATAAATTTCAAGTACCAAGCCATATAAAATTTTATAAATCAACATATTTCCAAATAAAAATTTCATCCAATATTTAATCTATTATCACATTTTTTTTAAAATATATTATCTTTAAATATATGTTCAAATGATCCTATTGAAAAATAGGGAATTCAAAACCCTTCCCTGCAGGATGAAATCTCAGCTTTATGCCCCAACCATATAATTGGCGAGCCAGTATATAAGCCAGTTTATATGCCAGTTTATAAGTCAGTATATTTGACCAACCCTGTCCCCTTGAACTTCCTTTATTTTTTTTTTAACCCTATATTTTCTATATTCCTAGTTTGTATTTTCATTTTTTTCTTTAACTTTTGTTATTTATCCCTTTTGATTGTTAGAAATTTAATTTTTTGATGAAAATTACTTTTTGATTTTTCAATTTTATATATCCCTGAGTTTTTTCAAATTAATTTTTTATGTTTCAAATAAAATATTGTCAAACATCGTTGGTTAATTCGCCCATAAAAAAATTAAAAACTAAATTCAAAAACGAGGTTAAACAACTCTAAATAATATAAAAAAAAGCCAAACTTTGAATCACTATTTGGTTTTCAATTCCTAGACATTCTAGTAAATAAGTTGAGTTCATTAAAGAAATTAAATCAGAGAATGGTTTATTTATATGCTACTTCTGTACGTTCTTATAAAAATACAATCCATGAATGTTCACTTAATGAGTATGAGAATAAATTAATTACTTTTGGTAAAGATTCTAGTAAATATAAATAATTAGAAAAAAACATAATAAATAATAATGTAATGGATTGTACAATTGAATAGGAGTAGTTTAGTTCCCTAATATCTTCAAATAGAAACCTAAGAATTAAATTATTTAAGTAATCTCCTTATTTGGCTTATTAAGATTGAGAATTCTTAATATTTTAGGATGCAAATTCAAAAGAATTATAACATTTATTTAATGACTATTCAATAATTAATAAATTTTTTTCACTTTGAATTTTAAGATATGAAAATTTCAATAATATCTTATCAAAACTGCCTTTTAAATACATTAAGACAAAATGAATTCAGCATTCAGCCAATATTTGAATCTAAATAATTAGAAACTATAAAAAAATTATGATAATCTGTATGCTATTAAAATCTAAAAATCAAAGCAAAAATTTATTCATTAAAAAAAATAAAATTAATGACAAAAACAATCTTGATATTAACTCTTTGTGTTTTTTTGACATCAGCTAATCAATAACTTTCCAATTTTATCAACAATTTCCTAAAAATTGAGGTAGGAGGCACAACTGAAACTGTCTTAGCCTCATGTTTTACAGATAAAATTGGTTATAAAGATAATGATCTCTATGCCGGAATTTATTATGCAGAATTATCAAAAGATTACAAAGCAAAGGATTTTAGTGCCCTTGGAAACCTACCTTACAAATACAAGCTTAGAATAACATATAATGGAAAATCAATTATTGCAGAGAAAGGTGACGTAGGTGCAGGTGGTCCCTCCCATCCTAAAATTGATATCCATGTTAAAGCCCTTCAAGCCCTAGGATTAACAAATTGTAATAACTTTTTAACTAATGTCTAAATTGAATTCATAGGTTGATATGACATCATTAATAAATTACATTTCATAAAAATTAATAAAAAATGTATCTTATATTATATATAAAATTTTAAATTATTATTTGACAATGTATTTGGAGTGCCTATTTTCAAATTTAGCAAAATAAAATCTCATACAATATTAATGATTAAGATAAACGAAAAATTTAAGTGATTTCTAGAAATAAATGCTCATTTGTTATCTTTAAACAAAATAAAAGAAATTATAGTTTCTAATTTTTTGATTAGGTTGTTTTCAAGATACAAGGACCTCTTAGATAAATAATTATATAATTTGTTTTTCAGATTTCCCTTTATTATTAATATAATTATGAATTTAATAATTGTGTTTTTATTTGCGGTAGCATATTGTTATCCAATTGTCGTCACGAATACAGACTTAAGTTCTAATGATCTATTTATTAATTAAACAGATCTGCTCAATAAAATTAGATAGCAAGTATAATAATAAATTTTGATTTAAGTAGGAAAATAAAAAGGTTGTCTTGATAAATATACAGACTTCTCATTAAGATAATGAAATATTTTAAAGCAAGCTACTTAAAAAGATAGAGAATTTAAAGACATTTAAAAAATTACTAAAATCTAAATCCACTTTCGTTTCCCCATTTGTAGATTATTCTCCAATCTAATTTATTCAAGGACTATAAAAGGATAATCTAGTAATATAAATAATATATAAAAGATTGAAGTTTAAAACATCCCAATGAACTTTTAAAATCTGAAGGGATTAGAAAAATTTTCTTAACAACAAGATGTAATCTTAGTTGTATTATTTTCCAAAATATCTTCAAATGTTAAGGTATTAGAAGAAATAACTGAAACTTAAGAAGTATTTATTATATTTCTAATATAATAGCCTTCCGAATAAATTGTAGCTGTTGAATTATCAGATGAGTTGGAGCCTCCAGAAAATACAGTATAAATTATGAATAATTAAGATTTACACCATCACTTCAAATGAATTAACAGGATACATTGTCTTTTTTGTTTCAATATTTGCTTTATGGATAGCTGTTTAATGTAACGGAGCAATTTAAACTCCTGAGAGATTTTCAAAATAAAATTATTACATAGGAAAAGAAAGTTGATTAATTTTATATGTTTAAATGGAAAGCATTCATGTCATTTCTAAATATTTTTCTATAGATCTTTTGTTTTTTAAGCCAAAACTAAAGGATTAGTTGTAAACCCCACATTTGCATGATTTCCATACGTACTGCTAGTTTTGTATTGAACTTTTTCGGTTCCAAATTGGATAGAGGAAGCATTTGATTTTGGAGTCTTGTAACTTGGCGATGATAAAATATTTCGTTATGCATTTGGATTGTATCTGCATAAAGGTTTGCTCTTACTTGTAGCAAATACAGGCTAGGTAAACTTAAATTATTCTCTAAAAATTGAAAAATTGATTACTATGACAAACTTTCTTTAACTCCTAATTTAACCATTTATTCTGCATAGGTTTTTGATGGTTTTTAAAAACAAGGAACAGCTTTCGGAATCCCATTTTCTACTTTGACACATGCACAGTCATTAACTCTAGTTTATTAGAAAAAAGGATGAGATTTATCCTTGTCTATTTATTTTTTTTATAATGTTGTTGAAAATATATTTTGATTTTGTTCCTGTTTTGAAGTTTGAGGTCTCAATTTTTTTTATTCTTAAGATTATTAAGAATTTTTTGCAGATTAAGGTCGATTTTACAAGTTTGACTAGTTTTCATTGGATAACATTTATTAGGTGTCTTATTAACTCATTTTATAATAAAATTAATATGAAATTATTATTCATTTTATCCAAAGCGATTTCAAAGAAAATGTCAATATGGATTAATTCGTTTAGATTCCCCAATCATTAATCAATTTATATAACTAAAAATCAGACAATCTATCATCATTTAATAAAGCATTCATATAATAAATCAATTCTTTAGGATTAGTCTAAAAATGATAAAAGATTACTTCGAAATGAAAATGGATAGTAATTATATTTGCTAAATTATTTGATAGAGTAAATTTTGAATTTGGATGGTCTTCAATGATTACATTTTTAATATTTGTTAGTATTAAATCTATATCATATTTTTAGTGTTTTCTTCCAGCAGGTTTGAAAGCTCCAGCTAATCTCTAACATTCAGAAATAATTCTTTGTCTAGTTTCTGATTGTTTTTTTAAGTCAAATATATCCTCTGGCAAATGAAAAGGGAGCAAATTTTCTTTGATAAAAAATTGATCGTTATATCTTAGTTTTTTTTCCACTATTGCACAATTTAAAAAAGGTTTTGCACTTATTTAATTTTATTTTTCTTAGTCTATCAATTGCTTTAATCTTTGCAAATACTTAGCAAAATCGTAATCTGTTGGAATATATTTGAAAGGTGTAAAATAATTGTTTATCCCTTAAACTTTAAAAGCAGGTTGGACATTATCCACTACATGAAAGACTTTTTATTTTGAATTATTTAATAAAGCATTTCCTATAAGGAACATTTTTGATTACTTTTAAAATTTGGCAATTCTCTAAGCTAAGTAAAATTATTGGAATTAAATGCCTCTCGAATTATTTTAATTTCTCTTGTTTAATCAGTATAAAAAGATGAAGAAAATTTTTCTGGTTGTTCTGTGACGTCTTTTAGTCTTTTCTCTTCAGTTTCTATATTTAAACTGATTTTCATTTTCTAATTATTAAAAATGTAAAAAGAAAAGAAAATCGTCAAAGCAGTATCTTGTTGGATAATTCTTAGAAAAATAATGATGTGGATTAATATATTCTTTTCCTTGGCTGTTATAGGTTTAGGTAATTAATCAACTAATTAAAGGAATATACAAGTATTCAGATGGCAATTTTAACAATTTTGCAGATGTGTTCATTCCATTTTATTTGATAGTTTTTGGAATCTTATTAATATTTGCAGAAGCTGAATGGTTAATCTTAATTAAGCACTTTAAATTTTTAGACAATTATTTTGGAAGGTATTGATGACATAATATATTTAGAGGATTTTATAATATCTTTTTGGGAACAATGCTTCTTAACATCATTAGTATTAATAATGATGGTAATCCTGATAGAAATTTCACTTGGGTGATGGTAGTTATTGTCTCCTCAACAATGGCTTTCGTTGGTGTAATGGAGATATTTTTATATATATGGCATTGCGGAGCTAAAAGTGAAAAATATACAAAATATGATGAAAAATAAGAAATACAATAAAAATTATTAAAAGAAGAGGATAAGTTGACCTAACAAATTTCCTAAAGTGTGCAAAGCGAAATTGATATAAAATATTCTGCTTCAAAACAACCACAAAGTTCTATTTAAGATGAATACAAATAAAATTATTCCCTATAATAACAATAATAGCCATTTTAAGATAATAGCAATCCTGCCATGGTTTATACACCAGAGCAAATCTATAAAATGTAATAAAATCCAGAAGAATATTCAAAATGGCTTAAGTAGTAGCTCTAAATGACAGAATCAAAATTGCCTAGATAAGAATAACTATATGGAAATTCATAATTATGAATAATCATATAAATTAAATAATGAATATGAAAGTTTCTGTCTCTGGATATTATTATGAATCTGCTGATAATTAAGTAGATGCTGATGGCTACAATGACAATTCATCAAAAAAGAGAGAATCTTAAGATAAAGATTAAAAGGGAGAGTTAGAAAGAATTACCTGTACCTTCTAAGAGGCTCTTTCAAAGTTATATGAGAATTAGAAATTTGAAAAAGCTGTATTTAAAGCTGAAGGTGAATATAAACAAATGATAGATCAACTACTATTACAATGTGAAGTCCTAAATGATTTAATTAATGGCAGTATTATAGGCTCAAAAGGTATTAAATAATCTATATAGAAATTTCAAGACCTGAAGCCAGTAAGTATCTTAAAGATTTATCAGATATTCAAAGTCAACTTGTGATTCTTAAATAATAGATCAAAAAAAAGCCTAAATAAGATAAAAGAAAGCTTCAAAATCAGATAAATTAAATTTCTTAAGAGACTCCTTAATCAGACAATATTGATATTAACTTATAAATTATAGATGAAAAAGAATTAGAATCATTTTAAAAGCGAATCGATATTCTTAACTAAAAAATTGGTATGGGTTATGTGAAAAAGAGTAATAATGGAGAGACCTTTTTTATTAGGGGTAGTGAATTATTTAGTGGAAATGAAAAAGTGAATGAAAAAAAAGATAAACATGATTTTAATATGATTGGGCAATTCACATATCCTATATAAGAAAGTGATCCTTAAAATATTATGGCACATACTTCACTATTAAAAATCTAGGCAAATCTATTAAGAAATGATGAAGAGATGATCTAGAAACTTATTAAAATTTAAGAATAATAAGAATAACTAAATAAATCTGAGCAGCAACAAGATTTATCTAGTTAAGTTTAAGTATTACAAAAAAAACATGAATTTACTTTGAATAGTATAGATGAAATTCCAAAAATACTGAGTAGATTAATTTCTTTAAAGTAATTGCATTAATAAACTATTTTTTTACCATAATAACTTGAATAAACTTCACAATAGTTAGATTGGATGTTACAAAGTTTAGAGGAAGGATCAGAAATAATTTCAATATTAGAAAAATAAATAAAATGAATTTGAAATATCATATAATGTGCATTGATCTAAATTTGTTATTTTTTTAAAGTCTTTTCTCAAATATATTGAATAATAATTTATATAAAAATATCATCAATTGCATTTTAATGGAATACAAATAATTTGTAAAGAATATCTCATTAAATAAAGTTAGCAATCAAGAATAATAGAACAAACAGATACTTAACTATAGATTAAAATAATAGGTTGCTTTCTTCAGGTTGCCATCCATTTTTTAAACACACAGAATGTAATAAATAGCGGGAAATTTTTTAAATTTTGAATGCTGCAAATTAAGATTATATAGGGCCAATCATAATGTAATCTGCAGTGTTGATTTATAATCCTGGGTATAAAATTAAATTTGAATACAATTTTAGTTTATAGGCATACCTCTGTTGTTAACAAAATGGGGAATTGAAACTTGAAAATATACCATACCAAGAAGCTTCCCATAGCAAAGCAACTAAATTTATGATACAAGGCACTGTGAATTAGAAAAAAGCAATTACAGAAAATGATGATGTAGTTTTCAAATTTAATGATGCGAATTATTTAATTTCAGAACTGTCTTTATTTTGTTCATGGAATGGACCAACAATTTCATAAGATTCAACATGGAAACTTTAAAGAAGTAATTTTCCACCTTTACCAGAATGGTTTTAGCAAAGACCATTTATTTCATTAAGTTATTTATAAAGTTCTGACTAATTAACTTAATGTTTAGTTAAATAGAATGAAAGAAAACCAATAGGAAGCCATTCATATTAAATTTAATCAATTTATTTGATAGAAGATCTTTTATATGCAATGATGAGTATAGAAGGTTAGTATATAAAAAAAAAAAATGGATCATTTGATTATCTAATTGAGGGTCATTTAGAATAGAGCACATGTGATCTCTCTCTACAATAAATGGTTTCAAAAATATTGCCTATGTGCTCTTAACATGATTATATTGAAAACTATATATAACAAAAAATCAAATTTGAAAATGGATATATTTCTTAAGCTTTTTGTTCAGCAGTAAAGGAATTAATGCAAAAATACTTATTAATGGTTAATTAGCTTGATTATGAATTTAATTAAGGAGAAATAACTTTGTAGAAATTTTGGTATTATACATAACCATCAATAAGAATTATTAATTCAATTTATGTTTTAATTTAAAGCTTGTCTAAACAAATAGGTGGCACTTTGTTGAGTACAATTACAAACTTTATTAACACAAGCACTGATCCTTAAATAGTCGAAGTTTATTCATTTCTACTTTAAAAATCTTTTATTCCTTATATGAAATAACTTTCTAATTGGATATATTATGGTAGAATAGATGATCCATTTGAAGAATTTTTAGTTGCAGAAAAGAAAATTCAAAAATCCTCCATAGAGACTGATTATAAGAATGATTTTTGGGATTAAAGATTTGCACTTAGGAATTCATAGATTCCCAAATTTCTTGAAAAATATTAAGATATAATTTTAAGGACTGGAAAATATATTAATGTAATTGGATAAAAAGAATCTCCATTCGATAATTATTTAATTAAGAATTAAGGTCATATTGTTTAAAATTAAGATTTCACACATTTAGTGTCTTGTTTTGAATGGGCAAATAAAGAAATCATTAATCTATTGTTTTAAAAAGAAAACATTCATAAAAGATTAAAAACTATTAAAACTTTCTTTTTATTTGATTCTGGAGATTTTTTTATTCATTTCATTGAAGCAGCTGAATCTGAATTAGCAAAAGATATTAAAGAAATCTCAAAGGAAAAACTTGAAAGTTTATTTGATCTTGCAGTAAGATCAATGGCTAGTAATGATGCATATAAAGATGATTTAGTGTGTTATATTGATCAATACACTATAAATGAATAAATTTATGCGATAAGAAATTTAAGAGGAATTGATATAAATGAAAATAAACCTCCTAGAACTTAAAAATTAAAAGGAATTGAATTGTTCACTTTAGACATAAAAGTTGAATGGCCTGCAAATCTTATATTTTCTAGGGCCAGCTTGCTAAACTATCAAATATTATTTAGAAGTCTCATGAGTCTAAATTATTTATTAAAATAATTAAATGAAGCCTGGGTATTATAAAAATAGCTTAAAGACACAGGATTGCATTAAAAATTTCTTAAATAAAACTTTTTACTTTCAAGAATGTAGCACTTAATCAAGAATTATGTATTCTCAAATATCATTATTTTTATAGTTATATTATGTATCTTATGATGTAGTTGAAAAAAATTATACAAGTTTAATTTAAAACTTATAAAATGCAGACAATTTTGAGGAAGTCAAAGAATAACATATGAGATTTTCAGAAAATTGCTTAAAAGAATCTCTAATTATTGATTAAGATTTTTGGAAAGTATTTAACAAATGCACAAATTTTTGTAGTCAGTTTAGTTCATAAATTCAAAAATAAAATTCATCATTAATGTCATTTTTTACTGATAATTTCGAGCCTAAAAAGGTTTAAATAAAAGAAAAAATTACAGAATTGGTAACTGGAAAGCAATTTCAAACTTTATATGAAACATTTATCAAGAACTATGATGAAGCTTATAGAGAACTAATAAAGATAATTAAAACTTAGTAATTATTCTATATATTTTAAGTATATCATAATCAAAAACCTATGTAGTAAGTTTAATGATCAGGTTAGATTATCAATTTGATTATCTATGATTTGAAATAATTATTTTTTAATCATAATATTAAAGTTAATTATGATCATATAATTTTATGAGTGATTATTTTTATTAACATTATCTCTGTAAATAAAAATAAAATAATTAAATTTTGTTTATTAAAAATAACAAATAAAAGACGTCATAATATAACATTTCATTTGGTTTTACTATTAATTAAATAAATTAAAGGGAATTAATTCATATAATAATTCAAAAATTAAAAATGTAAAATTAAATTGTGCATGAAAGCATAGAAGAATATAGACGTTATAACAAAGTTTTAGAGGGGAATAGAAGATATGTGGATAAAAAGTTAGCTTAAGATGAGAACTATTTTAGAAAATTGGCTAAGGGTCAAACACCTAAATATTTATTAATCGGTTGCTCTGATTCAAGAGCCCCTCCAAATGAAATAACAGAAACTGATCCAGGAGATATTTTCATTCATAGAAATATAGCAAATCTAGTTATTCCTACAGATTTGAATGTAAAAAAAGTTCTATATTTAGATCAACTGTGTGATTTAATATGCCGTGGAACATCTTAAAGTGCATAACATTATTGTGATGGGACATACATGTTGTGGTGGCATAAAAGCAGCTATGAAATAAGATTCAGTTGGAGGATTATTAGATTTATGGTTAAACTAAATAAAATTAGTTTATGAAAAACATTAAGAATTAATCAATTCTTTTATTGATGAAGATGATCAAATAAATTCTTTATGCTGTATGAATGTTAGGGAATAAGTTTTAAATATTTGGAGAAATCCCATTATTTAAAAATCTTGGCAAGATGGACATCGTATTTTTATAATTATATGTTTATAGCTGTAATGGTACATGGTTGGTTATTTAGAGTAGAAACTGGTTTTATTGAGGAATTATCTTTGGAGGATAGCATACCAGATGAAATGTCAAAAATCTTTAAAATCAAATTCAATCCATCAAAACATTAATCTCCTAATTAACATTAAGAAGAAGAAGGCAATGCTCATTCTCCTATGAGAGCAAGAAGAAGATTTTAAAGAATGCAAAGCAGAATCGAAACAGAAATTCGTCATTTCACAATCAATATGTAAAATGTTAATGAAGAAGAAATTGAAAATAAAATAGTTTAAGATATTGAGTAAGATTTACAAGTATGAATTAAATAATAATAATTATTTACACTTTTGTAATCCTTTAATATGTTTTTTTTTCCTAATTAATCCTATTATGATTTTAAGTAAAATGACTGATACTAATTTGTATATATAATTGATTCTATAGACACTCTATCAAAAACTAACAAACAGAAAATAAATATTCCATTAATCATTCGAGAGTTTTATTATCATTTTTGAATCCGGCACCAAATTATTTTGAATTTATAATTTTTATTGATCTATGCTTCCATTTTAGTGATAATAATTAAATAAGTTAAAAATATGAATCCTATTTTCTTAAAAGTTTATCGAGATAATATTTAGAACAACATATACTCAATGTATTTTGAAATATTTAATAAAAAAATCCCTGAAAAACTAATAATTGGAAAATTTTGAATAAAATAATTATATAACACATATAAAGAGCATTACTTTTATATTTATGTTTCACCTATGCAAAGTTGATTCATTTTATTTCAAGTTATTATTTCGAAGAGTCTGTTTATTGATTTTCTAATTCCATTTCATTATTATTATTTCTAATTTTTTTTGAATGACAATCGGGATCAAATTCATCAATCGAATTTTATTTCTTATACCTTTCATATAACTTATAAGCAATTTGGATATGGTAAGAATTTCTTTTAAATTATTTAAATTCAACCTATTTTTTTTTTTATATTTGTTAAGGTTGCTGCTAATGTTATTTTTTACGCTTTTATTTCTTGAAACCTAAATATGTAAAATCACTTCAACTTTTATTAATTTATATGATAAGCTCATGAAAAGTTTTGACAACTTCCTTAAATTCTTGATCATTAAAAAGTTTCGAGCGAGCAGTAACACAAACATCTTAGATTTTATTATTCATTAATTTTATAATAAACATATAAAGTAATGTAAATAAAATTAAATCAAGTTATATTATTAAAATAAAAGAGATGTTATTCTGATATTTATACTATAAAAATATAGTTGTACTTTAACTGAATGATTTTATTAACATTATAATTTCGGATTTCATAAATTGATTAATAAAAAGAAATTCATTACTTTTATTGTAGAAAATAAATTTCTAATTGAACAAAGACATTTAGAGATATTTATTTTCTACATTTTTTTTAATTTAATAAATTTACAATTATAATTAAATGTAATTAAATGTTCAATCAATAAAATAATGCTAATCATCTTTTTAATGCTGGTATGAATGAAGCCTATTACTTAAATGTATTCATTTTTTCATCTTTAATTTTTGCATCATCCTGTAATGCAGTTTTACGAGCATTAGCAAAAGTTTAGCCAAAAATATTAGCTGCCACAACTCTTTTTTACATACCAGTATATCCTGGTAGAGGTGTTCCAAGTTAAACTAGAATATTTTCATGATTTTACTAGGCACTTATTATCCAGGATCACCATAAAATTTGTGTGTTGCTTGATCTATAGTTTCTGAATTTTATTCATATTCATTTTTCCAATTTTATAACGATTCTTTTAATTTTGGATTTCCTTATTAGTCTACTTTGAAAAAGGTCTTTGCATTTTCAGTTTAAGGCTAATTAGGTGTTATAAAAGAATATTACAATTTTATATTCGATTGGTTTAGGTTTTACACCTACAATTTCTGCTGCTGTTCTCAATTAAACATTATTCTAATTTTGATATGTTTCTTAAAGTTGAGATTTATATCTTAACTCAGGTGGCACATCTTAACCTTTGTAATAGTCATCATGCTAAATTTAGTAAGTAATTTTGCCGTAAGTTTGAGCAAATAAATTTTCAGCTTTCATTGATTTGATTTCTCCAGCATAACCTAATATAAGAATAATAATAACTCATTACCTGGTATGTGATTTTATGGTTTTTCTTCTTAATAGTATCCAACTTATTATTCAAAAAAGCTTTTTGGAATATGACCCGTATATCCAGGGACAATGTATTACAATCTAGTTCCTTCAAACATAAAAATAAATTAAATAAAAATAATATATTATCGTTCCTCATTTTATTCAATATAAACTACATTCCCTTACTTCTGAATGTAGATTAAATTATCTAAAATTATTAGAATAATATTACTAGCAATAATTCTATGTTTCTATTAAATTTATTTTATTATATTATATTCTCTAAATTTAGTTAGACTTAGGAACAAAATGTAAAATAAAAATATTTATAGGTTTTTTTTACAAGGTTTTGAAAAGAATATTAATAACTTTTAAGGAATACTTATTTATTTGTATATTTTAATGATTAGTTTGCAATTAGATTGATCATATTAATTTTTTAATAAAATAAATGCAATTCAAAATATACTGCATGGTTCTCCTTATGCTCCTTCAGTAGGTGCATTTAAAAAGTTTAATGGATTTTCATTTCCTCCAAAAACTTCTTAAGGGGGATCTCCTTCAGCCTACATATTTTCAAATAGTTAAATTAATTTTTCTTTATCATTTGGATTAGTGTTTAATTGATCAATAATTTTTTCAACACAATCTTTCTATTTTTCAAATTTTTTTAACTCTTCTTCATTAAGTTTATTTTTATTTTCCTTATCAATTAATCATAAATACTGAAATAAATTTGTTATAAGCCTCATATGTTTCTTTCATTGGCTGTTCTAATACATCTTTATCCATGAATTATAATAACATTTTGTCAGCTAATTCATCAAATTAAGGAGCTTATTCTAATTTTTCAAAAGTTTCTTGGAATGCCTTTTGTTATTCTCTATTATAAAAATTGTGAAGTTACTAGTTGTTAGGATTGATTCCTTCTAAAATATTTCCCATCATTCCTTAGAATTACTTAAGCAACTGATCTGTTTCAACATTTTAAGTTCCTTCTCCTTTTAAAGAATTTAGAAAGTTTTCACATTCCTTATTTATTGCCTCATCTAAGAATATAGTTATAATTACCTTCATCATCATTTTGATCAGCTGTTAGATTAAGTTTGTGATCTCCATCAAGAGCTTCAGCAATATCATCCATAATATCATCTCCCTTTTGATCCATAATATAAATATTTATTTTTATGAATTCAAGACTCTCTAGTTTAACATAAATTAGATCCAGAGAAAATATTTTAAAGGATGAATAATAGGAACCACACCATTAAAGGAGAACAAAAATAGTTTGTTCTATAAATGAAAAAACTTGCGAGATTGACATAATAAGAGAAATGTTAAAAGCAGGAGCTAATGCACTCAGGTTTAATTTTAGACAAACTATAATATTTTAGTATAAACACAGCTTATACTCATGACAGGAGATAATATGAAAAATTAAAAATGATAAGGGATTAATTAGAATTAGAACTTGATCATACTATTCCAATAAATATGATGCTATAAGGAAAGATAACTAGAATAGGTCATCAAAGATTGCCAGAAATATATCTAAAAGTTTAGTTATTATTAGATAATAGAAAGGAAATATTATTAGAATAACATAAGATAATAAAGTTATTGGTGATGAAAATATCATTTGTGTAGATTAAGATGAGCTTTTTACTTAAGCAAAGATTGGAGATTAAATATTTATTGATTATGGCTAAGTTGAGTTAAATATTGTAGCTTTAGAGACAGATTAAGAGTATAATTTTATATTAAAATCGAAAAGGGCTAAATAGATATTAATGGAAAAATATCCAGACTTGTATCCCAATGAGTCCATGTTTAGAAACAGCATATTTGAGTAAGAAAAATCCGAAAAAAGTAAATTGTAGTCTAAAAGTTCTTTATCCAGTGAAAATTCAAGAAGTGCTTCGTCAACATAATTGTAATCCAAAAAACAAAAATACATTGATTAAATCATTCAAAATAAAAAATAAAAGCTTGCTACAAAAAGTTTAATAGTTTTTGTTTGTGAAATTGAATAAAATTGTAAAATTTGTTCTAAAATAAAAAGGTTTAATGAGACCTTTTAAGCCATTATTTATAACAAATAGAGCAAAGGAATAAAAATAGTTAATTAAAAAGTCAGATGATTCAGATGAAGAAATTGAAACATAAATAACATCTAAAGATATAAATGATTTTACAATAGCTAAAAGATTAGATTTCGACTCAATTACTCTATCAAATGTTAGTAGACCTGAAGAAGTGCATGAAGTGCTTAAATATTTTTAAAATAGTTAAAACATCTATTAGGTTCTTCGACAAATATATAGATTTTTGTCAGAATAACAACCTAAGAAGGAATAAATAATTTTGATAAAATAATGGAAGTTGCAGATGGTTGCATAATTGCTAGAGCATATTTGGCAACATAAGCATAAATTGAAGATGTTGTTTAAATGTAGCATGATATGATATTAAATTGTAGAAAACTTGTTAAACCAGTAGTTTTTTAATTAATTAGGTTTTAATTTCAACATAAATCTTGGAATCAATGCTTACTTAGACTAATCCTACTTTTGCAGAAATGGGTGACATAGCAGATGTTGTTGAACAACATATTGATGGAATAATGTTATCAGGTGAAACTACATATGGAAATCATCCTATTAAAGTTGTTTAAGCTTTAGCAAGAATTTGCAAAAATATAGAAATGCACACTAGATTGTAATATTAAGGAATTTTTTAAATTAAAATTTAAGAGAATCCTATTGCTTCTATTATAGCCTAAAATGCTATTGAAAATGCATACAGGTATCCTTCGATTTAATTAGTCTCCGTGTTAAACTTATTTTATTATTTACTACTGGTGAAACAGCTTTAAGTTTATCTAAATTGCATGCTCCATGCCCAATAGTTGCAGTTACTGCAAAAAAAACTGTTGCAAGAAATCTTAACATAGTTAATGGTGTGATTCCATTTCTTGTAGGAAGTTTAGTTGGTATTGAATAGTAAGAAAATCTAACCTTATATTAGATTGACTCCAAGAATATTAGAAAACTTTAAGTAAAGAGGTTGGATTAAATAAGGAGATTATATTATTAGTATATCAGGATTATTTGGAACTTAAGAGGGCATTATTAATTAAATGACAATTTTGCTTATTTGATTTAAGTTATATAATCATTTTAAAAAGAATGTTTTTTTCGTAACTATCAAATATCTAATTTTAAATAATCTTTTTCTCCTTTTTACCTTTGTATGCTTTTTTATTTGTACAAATATATTTGATAAATTTTTTTTGTTAAATTAATGAAAAATTTGTATATTAAATCTTAACATAATTATCTAGCAAATGTGCTATTACCTTTTTATGATAGTCATTTATTTTGCATTATGTACAGAAAATTGGATCATGATAGATACATTTGGACTGCAATAAATAAACTTATCCAATTATTAAATTGACATTCTTTCAATCTAAGCAAACTTCAGTGTAAAATAAGCAAGCATTTTAATGATTTGTGATGCTACACCAAACTTTACAACTTTCAGTGAAATTTATCTTGATTAAAAGTATACATAATTATATCAAGTTTTTAATGTATTTGCGATTGGAATGCTTTTGAATTCACTGGAAAATCATAAAAGCTAATGTTGTTTAGAAATTCTAAAAAGAATTATAATTCATACTCTACTAATACCAAATTTTCAAATAGTTTACAGATTTTTATTGGGATTTTTTCATAGTAGAATGATATTTTAAATATATTGATTAGTTCAAAATAATCAAATGATTGCTTAAGGTACTCTTTATTTTAATAAAAGCATATGTAAAAACAACGGATAATGTGTAAAAAATATTTGTGATTGTCTTGAAGGTTATTTTGGTTTTGATTGTGAATTTTAAGGATTTGACATCCTGAAATAAGATTATCTTGAAAAAGATATATTATATTATTTAGATTCGATGAAGATTGGAAATGATCATTTTTTTTTGTAATTTTCAAACGAAGTAAAAATTAGTTATTAGTGTTTTTTGGAAAATCCTTACCTAAGAAAAGCTGTAGTTAAAGAACTAGCTTATATTAATATAACAATTGATGAGATTAATAAATGTTAAAGAATAGGGTTACAATCATCTTAAATTTATCATTATATTATAATTTAATCCTATTAAGATGGAATAGTTTATATTAATTAGAATTTAAATGAAAACGAAAACCATTTCTAAGCAATAATTATTTCAGTAATCTCAATTGGACTACTCTGTTTATGTTGTTTTATACTATGTATATTTAAATTTTCAAGTTTCAAAATTAAAAAAGCACAATCAACAAATAATATCAATATTATTGCTAGTGTTTCTAAAAACTAAAATATATTTGAAAGTTCATTTGATTGGAATCAACTAATCCCTGCAATTGAATATTAAAGTCTTTTAAGAAAAATCCCTTAAATAAATGATTAGATAGAATGTTAGATATGTTTGGATACTTTTAAATAAGATTAATTTGTCAGAGTCACATATTGTATGCATGTCTATCATTATAAATGTTTTGATAGATGGATGAAACAAAACTTGGTAATATCTTTGTTCAATTTAGATGTGTCCTATTTGTAGATCTCCTTAAGATAAAAAAGCTATAGATAAGATATAAAATTAAGAAAATTTAATGAATATTGCCTAATCTTATTCCTATAGTAGCAATCGTCGACCAGAAAACCGTCACTAATAAGGAAATAAGCGTTATGGAGATATTCCAATTTTAACTAATAGTAGAACAGGTGGATCTTCAAAATTAATTTTAAGCCACTGAATTGGAGGGAAAATTAGCTTAATGAAATTTAATATTTATTTATATATTTTTTCATGAAATCAACGTAAATTTATCTTGGCTTGTGTTTACTTAAGTAGTTTCAAGTCTATTATGATTCATAATATTAATTTAATAAAACTTATTTTTCCCTGGATCTGTTTTACTTTTTAATTTTGGTTTTGATAAGAGCATGAAATCATTATCACTGAGTTAATTTTCATGAGGTAATATATTAGGAAATTCTGAGGAATCTTTATCTAATAATTTCAATTTAATTCCAACATTATGACTATTAAGAATTAGATTACGTTCTTGTATTGATTAAAGAATAAATTATATTCTTGAGATTTCATATAAAATATTTTTTACCTTCATTTTTTGTTAAGCATCTTATTTTAATTTTTGGTAATACTTTGTAAATTCTCTAGGGTCATACGATTATCCATATCCAGTCACTTTAGTTATTTTTCCGATGAAGTTCTATCTGATTTATAAAAACTTAAATTAAGGGTAGTAAAAAGAAATGATTTTCCTATAGAGATATTCTGATTAATTAAATTCATTAAATAATACAGCACAATAGGATAAAATCAATATAATTGACCATATCGAACCTATGGAAGCCAATACCTCATCTAGATGAGCATAGGTGATATAATTAATTTATTAAATATTATCCAATGAAAAAGTAAACTATGAGTAGATGCTTTTCTTATATATTTATTGTTGAGTATTCAACTAGAGTGATTAAGTAGCCAAAGTATAATCGCTTATGAATTAATATTCTTAATCGGATGGGAATACAACCCCGTTATCTATATAGGCATAAGAGGTTTTGACAGAATATTTATTAAAAATTGTTTATTCTTTTTAAATAATAAATTCTAATTTCTTTGGTATCCTATAAAATTCTTCAGTTTTAACATTATATTTAGTCACTTATATAAAAACTGTGATAGTGGTTTTAGAATTAAAGAAATTACTAATTTCTTAATCATTTGCACAACTCATACCTTCAATTATGTAATCTGATTAACATGCTATAAATTACAGTTAGACATCGAAATTTTCGGTTGGACTTAATTTTAATTTATAATTTTTGGGTATAACCCAGCCATCAGCATTTGGAAACACTATTACTGGATCTGACTTAATTTAGTTTGTTAGAACATAAAATTATGGAACCAAAATATTATTAAGTTTTGTGAATGGATTTACATCATTTGTAAGTTTAATTTGAATTAGATCGTAATCAAATTCCACAAAGAGATCCTCTTTTACTTCTTCTGATAATGAACTTCTTGGCAGAATTTGATGTGTTCCCCATTAGACAAACATAAAAATCATATATGCAATGCATAAACTATAAAGAGTTATAGTAATAAGTCCTCCAAAGAAAGTTTAATAAGCATCCTTAGAGTTAAAGGTTGGACGATAAACAGCACCAAATTAATCAGCTTTAGTTATTAAATTAATCATTAATCACCCATAATTTATAATTAGATTTAAATTGTTAATTATATAATTTCTTATTAACAATGATTTAATGATGAAAAATTTATTTAATATTGTTACATGATTATATCGATCTGCTATTCTGACTTTATAAACATTTTGTATATTAACATAAATATATCATTTTTAAGGTGGTGTTCTTGGAATTTTAGGTTTATGTTAAAATGCATTTTTATACTAAGTATAAAAGATTTGATTACTTCATCATTTTTTTCATAGCTAGGTTATTCTAAGGGGGCTTCAACAGCTGGTTTAATCTCTGGTAATGGTTATCTTTGCTGAGAATTATTGTTTTATTAAGAGGATTTCATGCTTTATTATGATTATTATTAAAATTGTTATTATTATTATTAGAATTGTTATTCTGATTGATCAAAATTAACTGGAGGTCTATCTTATCCAACAGGTGTTCTAGCAATTTTAGGTCGAGGTTTCATTTCAGATGGTAATTAAGATTTTTATAATTAACTTGCAGAGATTACAGGAGTTGTAGGTCTAAAAGGTTATTATTAAGAACTTTTAGGTGTCATAGCTTTTTTATTTTAGTTTTCTTGCATAATAATAGATCTAGTCATTGTGTTTTACTATAAAATATAAATAATAAATAACTTAAATTGCTTCTTAATGAGATAAACTAAAATGAGCATTGAGTAATTCTTCTCCTACTAATTCTCCATCTTTAGCTTTTAAAGCATCTTCAGCATCTTCTTCTTCTATAGTATCTTCACTATCATCAATATCATCAATATCATCTACATCATTATCTTCATCTGGTTCTAGTTCATCTGGACCAACTTTATTAATTTACTCTAAAATATATTGAATCTATTTAATGAATCTATCATCAGAATTTTACATCAAAAGTACTAATCTTTCTTTCATTCCTAAAGCTTATGCTTATTCTCTCATTTGTGAAATTGAAAACAAAGAGTATAGAGTACCATTTACAAAAGTTCTTACTTACATATTGTCATGTTCTAAAAGATCATTTAATACTTTTAAGACTTCCTTTTTGAATTCTACACACTTTTATTTTCCTTAATCTCTCATACTTAGATTCATAAATAAAGCAGTTGCATATTCATATGAATATTCACTCAATGATTCTTTTTCATTCTCCAATGTTCTGACAATCCATTTTATTACATCATTTTCTATCATTACAACTTAAGGTTTTCTTCTTAATGATAATTTCTATAAGGCACCTAAAGCATTTCTCCTAACTAATGAATCATCCTTCTCTTTTTTTAATATATCAATTAGTGTTTTAATTAAAGTGAATGATGCCATCAAATAACTTCTACCTTAATAATCACTAGCCATAGCATTTGTTAATCTTAATGTATATTCTTTTACAGAATTAGGAGCATCTACTAACAATCTTTGTAATACTGTTGTATTTCCAGGAGTACATCCCAATATATCAAATTAAGCATATTAAATTAATATTTCTCTTCTCACTCTAGCTCCTTTAGCAGTTGTTATTCGAAATCTTAATGCTTATAAAATTCTACAAATAAATCCAGGCTCACTTTAGCTATCTTGAAATACTGATTTAATTTTTTAATAGTTTAATTACACATAAGGTATTTGCGGTTGATTAAAATTAAAGTGTTATTATTAAGAATGTTGCGGTATAGGACTTATACTTAAATCATTTTCAAAAATGCTTGCTTTATCATACATAGAAATATCCTAACTTTAACTTATTATCTCTTCTACTGATGTACTAAAAAATTGAGATAATTTAGCTAATTTTTTTAACTGTTCATCAAGAAGATCTTATGGAACTTATTTTCCTCTTCTACTATCTTCTAACATTTTATTTAACTAATTTGCTATATCTGTAACTTCTTTGTTTAATTAATACCATTTTTGTTGAGCTTCTATCATTGTCTATTTACTTTATTCTATATAATCCTTAAACTTCTTTTGCATCTAATTATATTTCAAATTATAATCTTAAATAACAGCCAATAATTCTTAATTGTTCATTCCTAATTATGTTGTATAATTTTAATTAGATTATGTTAAATTCTATTTATTATTCTAATATCTTACCACTTTCTTAGGCTCTTGCTCTGTAAAATTCTAATACATTTATTCCATAACTGTCAATTATTCCCTATTCAATAATTCATTTGTTAATTTAACAAGCTTTCCTTTGGTTTCTATAATCCATTAATTTGTAAAAAAATGTTTATATGTTGGATGTTCCTATGGCCTCTGTACATATGCAAGAGCATAATATGGTAAAAATTCTGTTGTTTTTGACAATCTAAATTTAACAAGAATTACTTACTCCTAACCTTTCGTATCAAGATATGTTTTAAAATAATGAAGTGCAGGTTTGCTAATTACTCCTCCCTTCTTACCAGTTTTAGGATGTATTTCATAAATTAAAAAGTATATTTATATATAAAACTCCAATTTCTTAGCATCCTCATCCTTCATTCTTAAATTATAAGGTAGATATTTGTTCCATAACATGAAAAACATTTCATATTATCCTTTATCAAAATACTAATTAATTTGAAATGTTACTTACTTCAAGTAATTCTGAATCTAAATGATAGGTCTCAGCTCCCATTTATCCAGAAGCTAATTCTTTTGATAATGTATCTAATGTGTTTAACAATTAGTATCTCACCAGATACTCTTAAATTAAACTTATTATTGATTCCTATGTTGGATCAAGTATAGTCTCTATATACATTTATTCTGGCTACTATTCTTGCTTTTTAGATTACTGAGGAACACTTTGCTTTGTTACTTTTTTCTTTGTTGGTGGCTGGTATTTGCTCATTCAAATGTTATTATTATTAAAAATTAGAATTATTTTTATAAAAATCAAATCACAACCCTAACAATTACTTTACATACGCAACCTTATCTTCTTAACTGTACCATGTTTTGAAATCTACAAAAGTAATCTCTTCTGTTTTAAATATATTATGTCTATTTCTTTATTTTCCTATTAGATGAGTTTCATCTATGTAAGAATGTCTCTAAATAAAATCTAAATAAATCAATCTCTTTCTATATATTCCTTCTAATTCTACTACAAAGTCTACCTGATATATTTAAACATTAGCTTATTTCTTTATCTTTGTAATACGCCAATCAGGTCTTTTTTGATTATTTAATTCTGATTAAATTTATTACAATATCTCATCCATGTCTAAATTTGCTTAACTAAATTAAGGTTAATGTTTTAAATTTGTAGCATTAAAATAAATAGATCTAAGATCTTCCTTGTTTTCTACATTCAATTCTAAATTGTAGCTATTTTCCAAAATATAAAGAATCTAATAAAAATGGCATTTTTCCACTGTGCTTGATTTTTCCATTAAATTTTATAATTTAACAAATAAACTCTTTATCAATTTTGTATTTTATGAGTTTGCATAAATTAACCCAAACAATAAATCAATTAATTCAATTTATTTTGTAAATTTCTCCATGTTATTTTCAATCTATTATATTATTTAATTAATATTACAAATTCTTCTTCTTCTACTATTTTTATTTTTACCCAATAAAAATTACAAAGTGCTTTAAAACATAAAGAGTAATTTTATATTGGAATATCTCTTATTTATTCATAAATTTATTAACAAATTAATTCTTATTTATTTATGATATCTAATTCCTTTTAACTCTTTATTAAGAAATATAATCTATCTTATAATGACAATTCGTTTTTTAACTTTGTCAAATATACATTTAATCTTTTTTACAAAACACTTACAGCTTTATAATTACCAAATTTTTATGAAAATAAAAATACAATTTATGAAAATACAATTAATTCTTTCTTCGTAATAGCATCTAAATTTTGGATCATAAATGTAAAATAATTTATGATTTTCTCATTGCCACCTTAGAGATTGCTGAAAATAAAAGTTTTCCAAATTAAATCATTTGGATTTTATTCTTGAAGTACTAATAATTCTAATTTCTTCAATATTTCAACTAATTTAATTTAATCTTATCCTTTATTCATAGCTTATAAATATAATCCATAAAAAGTATTTTCAATAATTTTATTATAAGCTCTCTTTAATGTGTCTTTTTAAGTTTCAGATAAAATAATCTACAATCCCTCTTCATTTAAGTATTATTTTAAATTTTCAAAGTCAAATTCAGCTACAAATAAATGAGTTGGCTCTAAAAGCAATAAATGTTGATAAGCTGATTCAATAATTACTTTTGCTTCATTTTATTAATGTTTTTTAACAATAAGATCATGAGCAATGTGATTTTTGTTATAAAATTCAGCAATGTCTCTATAATCATAATCAAATTCCTTATAAATATTAATAAATGATGAACAATCTTAATGTGATAAATTTTAAATTAAGTCCCAAAGTTTTTATCTCAATTCTAATGGTTGATATTTCTCCTTATTTATTTTTAATTGCTAAATTGCTTTTAATTGATTTGAAATGGCATATTTAGATATTGATAACACAAATTTAATCATAAATTAATTTCAGAATTTCGAATGTTTCAAACAGTGTTAAGTTTGCCTGTAATATTTTTTGGTCATGGATCTCCTATGAATGGTATAGAAGTGAATGTATTTTCTCTTAAATGGAAAGAACTTGGAAGGACTTTACCAAAACCAAATTCAATTCTAGCTGTATCAGCCCATTGGGAAACAGATGGTATAAAATTAACAGGAAATAAAATACAAAAAACCATTCATGATTTCGGAGGATTCCCTAAAAAATTATATGAATAATAGTATAATCCACCTGGTAATTTGAACTTATGTGAAAGAATCCAAAAATTAATACCTGAAGCTAAAATTGACAACACTTGGGGATTAGATCATGGAACATGGACAATACTTAAATAAATGTATCCTGAATAAGATATTCCTGTTATACAATTAAGTCTTAGTAAAAGATTATCAGAAGGAGAACATTATAATATTGGTAAAATATTGGCTCCATTAAGAAAAGAAGGAGTTATGATAATAGGAAGTGGAAATATAATTCATAGTTTCAAAGAAATGGAATGGACAGAAACTGCTAAGCCTAGATCTTGGGCTGCATAATTCAATGAATCAGTCAAAGACATGATTCTAAAAAAAGAACATGATAAATTAATAAACTACAAAAAATTAGAATATGGTCTTAGAGCCAGTCCAACACCAGAACACTATTTACCATTTCTCTATGTATTAGGACTTTAGGAAAGTACTGATAAAGTGACATTTTTTAATGATGAAGTTGTAATGGCTTCATTCTCAATGACTAGTTTTATTTTGAGTTCTTGAGTTAAATTTATTATATCAATTTTATCAAATTATTAAATTCACAATTATGAAACATAAGAAAAAGATAGCTAATAGGTAGTATTTTCATTTTTTTAAATTAAAATATTTATATTCATAAAATTTTTAATTTAAAAAAATATTATATAAAAATAATATTTTATTAATTCTTCTTTAGTAGTTTATTTTGTTCTTTTTCATATCAAAAACTTTAAGCTATATTAGAAATAATTATTATAAAAAAGTTATTGGTAAAGCGGTAAAATGATGAAAATTTAAATACTACACTTTATTCACAAATATATTTATCAAATACGACTGTATAATAATAAATAGGCTGAATTATCAGATTCGTATGAAACCTTTGGCTTTATTTCTGAAACAGAGCTATCATTTAATTAGTACCACTTCTGAGTAAATGGATGTTTGCATTCTCTAATTAATGAATTATAAATTTACGCAAAATAATGACCAAAATTCAAATCACCATAATGTTTTACAATTCCATATAAATTATACTGACAGTTTAAAGTTGATTTATCAGTACTATTAACAATAAGTTAGGCTAAATCTAATTTGGCTCCAAATTTAATTTCTATGTTTATCTTTTTCTTCATAGGTCCTTTGTAATAAAATCGTTTTAAATGAATAACTAAAATATCTGGTAATCTCCAAATTTCAAGTTATCTTGTACATTTTCTTTACTATCTACATTTTCCACAAGTATATTAATTAATGTTTTCTTCACTTAAATAATATTTTAGCATATCTTCAAGCGTAATTTAATTTCCTGAGATATTTGGAAATGCTAATGATAAATCTTAAAAGTTATCGAATGCTAGTGATTAATTTTTACACACACTACAAGTAACTCTGCTTAATAATTATCCAGTAAAATAATCGGTAACTAAACTATTATCTCTTCCTTTGAAATAATTAAACCAAGTATTAGACTTAAAAATAGAATAATATTATACTATTTCTTCAAGAGTTTATTTATTAAGATCAGCGTTGAGTTCTTTGTAAATTGGTTTACCAGTAACTCTATTCAAATCTTCGTGTAAGCATGTTAAAAGAGCTCTTAGAAACTCTTATGAATCTTCTTATCTATGGCCTCCAAATTTTTTAGTTGAATTTGCTTAATAAATATATTCTTATTTTACTTATAGCTTATTTCAATTAAACTGGATTCTCACTGTTTTAATTAGTAGTTCTCATTTATTTGAGTAATCTCCAATATTATAGGGCTACTTATTTATGTTTTGGATTTAATTCTTGTTTAATTTCATCCGATAAAAATTTATCATTGAATTTTGGTGTATTAATAATACATTATAGTGCACTATTAAAGTAACATGTATTTCCAATATTATGTAAACCACAAGCCTTTAAATGTTTAATCTCCTTTTTAACAGCTTTATTAGTTGGTTCAATTAATTGTTCATTTTATTTAATCTATTATTATTTTTATTATGACGAATTAATTGGCTACTATTTATTCTAGCTATTAAAAACTGTGATTTCTTCTTTTAGTACATTTTTCGAAGTTTATATTACATTATTTTTATCGATAATAGTACTTGAACTTGAAGCATTTTAATTATTGGAATGATAATTACATATTTTGTTATTATTATTATCCAAAGTATTTTTTACATTAATATTTACTAATTTTTCAGTCTTTGTAGTTGGATTAATTTCTGTTTTTTATATAACTTGATTTGTACTTTATGTTTCTTTTTTTAGTGTTTATTGATTTGTTATTTATTATTCATTTTATTGAATTTTAATGAAAGTCTAATCATTTAATTTAATTTGCTTATTTATAGGCTAGTCAACAAATTCAGGTTCAGTAGATGTTTATGATGATAACTTATGAGCTCTCTTATAAGCCTAAGATGATAATGATAATATTATTCTAGATCTATAGAGTTTGAATCCGCTCATTAAAAAAAATTAATTTTGTTTATTAAAATATGATATTTTCACTATTTTAAGCGAATGTCATTATGATGCTTCAAATTTCTTTATATTGAACTTGCTACTCTTTAAAGTTCATCCAAATAACTAATTTTTATTAAATTTAATTACTTTCTTGGTAATGTTTAAAGTTCACTTGCAGGAGTCAATTCTAATAAATTTTGTATCTCAACTAATCGTTAAATAGGGACAGCATTACTGAGCTATGTGCTTTTTAATGAATACTATCTAGTACCCTCTTTCTGGATAAAATTTAGATGTCAATGATCCTGATCTTAATTAACTGTCTTAATTGGTTCTACCCTATGGAGACAAGAATGAATTTTTAGATCCAGACTAATCATAATAAGTACTCTTAAAATCTTATGCTCCAGTTGAAAGGTGAAACTTTCCTATCTGTTCTTAAGTACCAATTTGTTACATCCTTTACTATTCATTATTATTTTACTTTTTTTTTAATCCACTTATCTTGGCAGGGGATGATTGTGATACTTATTCTTAATTTTAAGTGGGTTTCCCAAATAAAATATCTAAAGTTCGTAACGTATTTTAGTGTTTTCTAGGGCTTTCCTTACTCTATTATACTCCTTTTGGACTTAATGGCTTTTATCCTAATTTTTCGAAATGATTGTATTTATCTATTATAGATGTACGAACTTCACTCCTTAATGCTTAATAATTAATCTAGTTTAGAAATTAAATTAACTTCTTTATTTGCCAATTAGCTAGTATATGAAGAAGGTTTATCAGATATATCTGTCACATGAAAAATTGACATTAAAATTTATTTATTATATATTATTTTTATTTTTATTTCAATATATTTTATTTATTCAATTTACAAGTGCTTCATTTTAAATTAAGTACTTTCTTTTATTTTTTATATTTTAATTATTCAATCAATTTTCTCCATAATCGAGCCTTAGATAGACCCATAATATTATTTCCTAACTTAAAAATAAACTAAGGATTTTATTTTTTTGCCAATTATGTATTTTCGCAAATTTTCGGAATGATTTCAATTGATTTTTACATTATTTAATGAAAAGATTATTTCATAAACTAAATTTGGAGACAGAAAAAAAGATCACTTATGAACAAACTCATAGAAAAAGTTTCTTTTAAAAAGATTTTGAAAGAATGCAATGGAATAGATCTAAAATACCTAAAATGACTACTGAATTAAATATAGTTTAAATAGTTGTGATGGAATCTAAATAACATTAAAAAAAGATTTAAACCATTATGGTTCATGAGAACATCATAGTTAAATAGAAAAAAGATGTATTTATGAAATATATATAGGGATCTTTATGTTGGATTGATTATGAAAATTCAATATTAGAAAATATTCATCATTCTTAATATGGGGAAGGAATCAGATTAGTTAAATGCTTTGATTAATTGGAAATGTTTGGAGAAATGGATAGATTTATGAGTGTATTAAAGAAGTTCACTATTCAATTAGAATTTCTATCTTATTATCAAATCTTGAAGAAAATTAGTTCTAATGATAAAACTGAGGTTATTATATTAAATAATTATCAAGGTATTCAGAATAAGAAGTAAAAAGGACAGAAATGATTATTAATGCAAAATATATTTTAAAAAGATGATAAATTCTACAATTGAAGCAACAATAGAAAAGGAATTACGTATATTAAGAAGGATAAATGATGAAAATATATAAAAATATTGTGAAACATTTGAAAGTTAAGATTAAGTAATAATAGTTTAAGAATTTATAATTGGAGGAAATCTTGATTTATATTTATAAAAATGGCCTTTACTATCAGAAGAAAAAGCTTCTAAACTGTTTTTTAAATTATTTAAAAGCTTAGCCTACTTACATTCTAAAGGTATAATGCATAGAGATCTTAAACCAGAAAATATTGGATTAAGACTTAATGGTAATTTAGATAATCCTTGTATTACTTCATTTGGATTGGCTGACACTATCAAAATTAATAATGATTCTGATTCAGATGATGATATAAAAGATTATTTATTTTTAAGATGTGGAACACCAGGTTTTGTTGCTCCTGAGATATTAAAAAATTAAGAATATAATTGTAAAGTTGATGTTTACAGTGTCGGAATCATTCTTTATTATTCCTTAACTGGAAAAAAACCTTTTGATTCAGAAAATTATAGAGAAATAATCGAAAAAAATGAAGAAGGCAATATTGAATTCCAAAATTTAAAATTATCTAAAGAAGGATTTCATTTTATTGAAAGTATTCTTTAATCAGATCCTAAAGAAAGAATTACGTCGTAAATGGCATTAAATCATATTTGGTTTAGAAATGAGAAAATCACAAAGTTAATGGAATTAAAAGTATAAAAGAAATTGAAAAAAATTTAATTTAAAAGTCCTTAATATAGATAAAGTATCTAACATCAATCTAATTTACCTCCTCTTTAATCAAGTAAATAAGGATTAGATTTGACTTATGGAAGTCCTAGATAATCTCATTTCACAAATGGATAAAGAGATTCTCTCTATACAAATTCTACTCACAGAATAAGCCATTTAAATGGTAGTTTTAGTCCTAAAGATATAACTTAACTACCTAAATAATAATATCATAGTTTATATAGCAAAATAAATGAAGTTTCTCCTTAAATGCTTGCGAAATCTTAAAAGCCTTCTCAAGTACTTTCATTCTAATATCCATTCATGAAATTAAAAAATAAAAATAAAGTTATTGATGATATTTGACTAATATTCTAAATTAATGAATCTTTAATTTATGTCATTGTAAACGATAAAAAAATATGCATTTATTTATTAATTGTCTATTATCACAATATATATTATAATATGTATTTTAACATAATAAACTTATCATTATACTCATTAATTTATTCAATTCAAACTTTCATGCTGAGAGTTTCTAGTGAAAAAATATTTTGATTTTCCTTAAAAGATATTAACTATTATATATATTGAATAAATACTTTCAGGAAAAACTGTTGTTTATTTCTATAAGTTGAGAGAATGTCTGTAACTAACAAATTAGGAAGGAGATTTGGATTAGCTGAGACTATTCATAGATTGATCAGATGCTAAATTATTAACACATTAGAAATTTGAATTTCTATGAGTCTTTATAAGCAATGATTTTTTTTAATCTTTTATTTTAAATGAAAGTAATTTTGGTATCCTATTAGAAAAAAATGGATGACTTAATATTTCTTTACAACTTGAACGTTTAGTAAAATCAAGCTCTAAACATTTTTTAATTAAATCCAAAAGAATTTATGAACATTGTATTTCAGTAAAATCAACTTTACCATTATAATTCTTTAATATTTTTTTATTATTGTCTAGATCTTCAAAAGGATGTTTTTAAGTAATCAAAATATAAAATATAATTCCTAAACTGTAGATATCTATGTTAAGAATATATTTCTTATCTTATAAAACCTCAGGTGCCACATAACCTACACTACCACATCTTGTAAATATATATCTGCCATTTTTATTCCAATAATCAGCTAAACTAAAATCTATTAGACAAGGTTCAAGATTATTATCTGAATATCTAAATTTTATATTTTAAGGTTTAATATCTCGATGGAAAATATTATTTGAATGTAAATATGCCACACACTCAAAAAGAGGTTTCATAATCTATTTTATTTGATTCTCATTCATTTGCTATTATTTTTCTAAAATTGTCTATAAGCTTTCTCCTTTTAATTCTTCCATTATTAAAAAGATTAATTCATCATTTTCAAATATTTCAATAAGATTTGATATATGTGAATTTTTTATCTATCGAAGTATCTAAACTTCTTTCTTTATACTATTTATTTAATCTTAAGTGTGATAATTTTATTTTTCATAAATCTTTGCCACATGAACTGCTTTAAATTGTAATGTAGATTCTAGTTGCAGAAACTTAATCATTAAATTATAGTTTACTGTAGAGTTATTGCCATAATAAAGAGTTTTGGTTATTTTGTATCTCTCAGGAATTTCTCTTTGGATACAATATTTACGGATGTAGAGATATAACTCAGATGCATTGTTATATATTTCTATAGAAGTGCCTGATTTTATAAATTTCAATCCTTCAATTTCATTAAGACTTGTAATATGTAATAATAAAGTGGCATTTAAAATATTAAAATGTTTCTTTTTTTAGATAAAAACAAATACTTTTTTAGAATAAACCATGATGTGTTAGTAAAATTATATAAATTTCTTTTTTAGTTTTCCATTCTTTTAAATTAAATATTCTCCACTAAAAGTGATTTCATCTAATTCATCTATTGGTTTAATAAATAATTTGGAATTGTCTTCCAATATTGTAGTATACTGCTATCTTTGCTTTATTAGTTTAGTGATATTAATCATTATTTGATAATTAAAAAAGTAAATTTAGTTAATATTTAAAATATGATAAAATATTGTTTCATACTTAAATAAAATCTTAAGAATAGAAAAAACACTTTAAGTTTATATATAATTTCTTAAAAATCTTATATAATTTCCTTCTGGTGTTGTGTGTTAAGATTAATAAGAAAAAATTTAATATAAATAAATTTTTTTTAATGTAAAACAAATTAAATCTTAATTTTCATGGCAATACAGATTCTAAATAATCGATTTTGATTTTAGTGAATTAATCTTAAATTCTAAATAGTGAATTAATCTTAAATTCTAAATGGCAAAATTATTTGTTTAATAAGAATATCTATAGATAATTAAAAATTTTTTGGGCATAATTGTTTGAATAATAATTGTCATAAATATATTTTATTTATTAAATGCACGTTGTTATAAGGCTTTAAAATCATGGATGTAGGAATCATAAACTGTGGTGGATAGTAGTAGCTCCAAGAAAAAGAAATATTAAAGGTAGATTTATAGAGCATGTTGGATATTGGGTACCACATGAAAGGAAGGTTGTGTAAAGATCAGTCATCTTGAATAAACCTAGAATACGTTATTGGTTAGCTATGGGAGCAGGAGTTACACCTAAAGTCCATAGATTTTTATCTTGGGTAGATTTATTGCCAGCTCCTTTAATTAAATTTGGATCAAAAACATTATATGAAAAGCCTAAAATTCCAATTTCAGTTGATACATTCAAACCCTTTAATAAGCCTTTTTAAAGCTCAATAGAATATTAATTCTTAGACAAAATCTAAGAAAATTTAGTGAATAATGATTTGAAAAGAAAAATTTTATATTCTTAATAAAAAGTAGAAGAAATTCCTGCAACATCAGTAGAATTAGAAAAAGAATGGGATAGATTGAGAGCTGAAGTATATTAAATAGAAAAAGACAGTAAAGCTGTGAATCCAGAAAAGAAAGAGTTGGTTTTCAAAAAGATTAATGAGATTGCTAAATAATGGTTTACAGAGAAGAGAATGGAAGGATTAAAATAACTTTCAATAGAGAAAGCCAATATAAAGGTGGATACTTAAAATTTGAAAGAATAAATTATGTTATAAAATTTGGCTATTCAAACATAAAAATCATTAGAAGATAAATCAACTTGGATAAATGGTAATTAATAGTTTAAAGATAGACTTAATTCCTTTAAGTGAAGATGAAGCTTTCCGATATATTCTTAAAGTAAAGAGAAGAATTAAATAAGCAAGACAAGCATACAAGAAAATATATGAGTTTGCTTATGCTTAAAGTTAAGTAGTGAGTAGAGCTTTCATTGATGATTATTTAAGAAAAAGAAATTATAGACAAAGACCAGTTTCAAATGAACAACATCCAGATTAAAAGCATAATATGATTGAGACGTAACAATTGATTATTTTGTTATATTAGATTACATTATATTCCAGTAAATAGACCAGTTCATCCACTTCCTGATTTTGAAGCTTATGATCCAGAAGATTATACTGATATAAAAAGATAATCAGAATAACTCATAAAGAATAAGAGTAATGAATTTAAGTTATTGTTAGGTTATAGCATTCCGAATGTTTATTTGGAACCTGATTAGATTGAACCTTAAATAAATAACAACATTGGGGGATACATTAAAGGTTAAGGAGGCAGAAAGAGAAATCAAAAGGGATAGCTTTAAATTAGTAATTTAAGAAAAAAGATAAAGGAAGCCTATAAAGCTAGATATGGTATTAATAAATGAGTTTTATATAAATTTAATAAGATTAATAAGATTTTAATGGAAATCTGACCTTAAGGATATTAAAAGATTAATAATTTAAAAAAAAGAAACAGAAAAATGATTAGTTTCTCATCCCCAATTCTACCTGATTCTTGGAGAAATTCGAATATGCTTCTTCTAAGTTTAATCGCCCCTCCAGAAAATTTGAGTGCTGAATATTTTAGTTCCCTTTTAAACCAGTATGATTATTATCAATATTAAGGTATGGCTCTGTGAATTAAGTGACAATATTAAACAAGTCATTAATGGACTTTAAAGTACTAGTAGAGATGGGAACCCCTGAAGCAGCCAAATCAGCAAAGTCATTTCTTGATTAATTATCTTCAAACTTTATCAAGTGTTAGTATTATTTAGATGAAAAGCCTGCTTAATCAGGATCATGTAACAATTGCTCACTTGATCTTATTAATGATTCTACAATTAGTACATTAAAATATCGTCATTCTACATCTCTCAATGAAAGTATAAATTAATTATTTTCTGTATAGTTGTATAAGAAGATGATAGACAATCTTCAAGTATCAAAACTATTCCATCCAGTCAGAAAATCATTCATTCTTCTTCAAAACTTTAATACACTACAGTATTATGTGTTAATGGAATTAAAGGAAAGAATTTAGATGCCTAAAAACTATATAATATCTTTAGTAATTTCGGAAACATTGATAAAATACTGCTTATTAAGTATTCTATACACTTAAATAGATTAAAAAATTTCGCTCTTATTAAATATCTCAAAGAAGAATACTCAATATTCGTTTTTTAAAACTGTTAAAATCTGTAATTTTTTGATAGCCTTATTTCTATTTCTTTCGTTCCAGAAGATGCTATTGATAAGCTAATTGGTCTTGATACTCTTTACAATTAATAAGACTACTATGTTGGTACTTCAGAAACAGATAGGTAATTATTAAAATTATATTTTTATTATTAGATTTAATTCTAATAATAAAATGAATCTTTATCCTCCAAGTTAAGTCTTACATATCTCCAATCTTAAAAAAATATCATCTAATGCTGAAACTATGTGGGATGTCTTTTCTGAATTTGGTGTAGTTGAGGTTATTTTCAATCTTCATCTTAGGCAGTCAAAGTTTTAAATACTTAGTTTAAATTCATGTGTTTAGTCAAAATGGAAAATCTTCAACAAGCTTTGGAAGTGATAGCTTTAATGCATAATCAAGAAATTGATAATAGAAATATTTAAATCTCCTTCACCAAAGCCAAAATTTGATTATAATAAAGAGCATAAAATATTATCTAATAATAATTTTATTATATATAATATCTAATTATCATCAGAAATATATATCTTAATAAGAATAATTTATCTATTTAATAATAATTATTCATTTTCTTAATTATTATTATTCAAGATTATCTGTAAGTTTATTAATTAGATATAGCTGAGTCTGTTTATTTAATTTAAATTTGCTAATCCAATCTTTTTTCTTAAACAGTTCTAAGTTCTAAATATTTTATAAATAACATTACACTATTCCAAACTATAATCTGCTTAAGATAAGAATTTCTCCTTTATTAAAGGATATCTATTTATACTCTCAAAGGTAATTCTATTTCCTTATTATTCAATATTAGAATATAAGTAGATTTATTATTGAGTGAGATTAATGAATTAGATATGAAAAATTTCTTAAATAGATAATATAGATTGATATCAAAAGGGGGAAATCTGTCAATACCATTAATATTATATTTGATGAGAGTTGTGATCTAATTGTAAATCTGTATTTGCTCCATAATAATTTTAGAAATGATTTTCAATTTTTCCTTATTATTCTTTGGGTTTTTTTAATTCTTTGCTGATCTGTTCGCACTTTTTTTTCCACTTATCTAGAAATAAAATTTAAAGAATACCTTCATAATTTAAAAGCTTTTAATCATTTAATATATCATCTTGATGTATTTCTTCAACAAATGGATTTTCTGAAATTTCACACTTTACAACATTATACATTTGCTTTGAATTTTAAGCCATAAGTTAAAGTTGTTAACTCCCATAAATTTGATTTGAATTTTTGATTGAATCTAAGAATTCTTCATTGACAGACATAATCACTTTTGTTATTTTTATTGTAATAGTTTTTAAATATTTAATCTTAATTTTGTCCCAATAATTAAAAGTTTAAGATTAATTATTTTATTTAGATACTCGTGTTTTTGTAGCACTCAAGTGTTTTTGTTATTAACTTTTTTTGACTTTTTTTGATTGCTGATTCAAATGTTTCAGTGCTTTTTTTCTTGTTTTCTCAGAATAAATTGTCATTTAAAATTGTTTTTCTACTTCATTTTATTCAAGAAAATTAGATTTTTCATGAAATTATTTCATTAAGTTAGTTTAACCAGCAACAGCACAATATTCAAACAATCTTTTTTAGATTTCTGATACATTCTTAATTTCTAATATTTTTCTAGTTAATTGATCAGTAAGAACTAATTTTATATAATATTATACTAAAACTTCCATCATTATTTAATATTGAAACACCTACTCTCTTTTGATTTTTATTATTCATTTCAACTAAAAATTGGCTATGATCTTAATTAGTATTTGGAATCTTTTGTTTAACTCTTAATCTAATTTAATTCAAAATCTATTTCTTATCATCTTAAGTATCTGGACTTTCATAACAAACTTTTATTAATTATTGAAGTTAAGTAAGTTATTTTTCATTTGAAATAGAATCTAAATATCTGTAAAAATCTCCAAGTAATTCTTAAGTAGATTATTGATTAGAGGATTCTACTATTACTATTGAGAACATTGTTTGAATAGATTTCAAATAATCATTTTCCATTGTAAATATTTTTGATAATTTATTATTAACAATCAAATCTCTATTCCATTGTTATAAATATATTATTGCTGTTTTGGCTGAATTTTAGGTTTCATTTAATTGAAAAAAATTAATTGAAATTCACAACTCTTAACTGCCATTTAAAAATAAACAATTATTATCAGATCCTTAATTCTTTTGTTTCATTTCCTTCTATTATATTAACTTGAAATTCAAATATTGTTTGTCTAACAAACTTTATACTTTCTTTATTTAACATTTATAAATTTTTGTTTCAATATTGAAATAATTATCAAAACTAATTTTGCATAATTATTCATTTAGATTTCTAGAATACGTGTATTTTTCTACTATTGTATACAATATTAGAGACAAAGTATATGGATTGTAAATTCATAATATTTGAATATCTGATGTAATCTGTACCTGAGGCAAATAGTTTTTTAGTAAAAAAGAAAGCGGTTCTCCTGTTTATTTTATTAGTTATTAATAGAGATTTATATTTTATTTGATTTAGAAATCTAGCTGATAGCTTAAGAAAAAAACAATTTAAAATTTTTTAACAATATCGAATAATTTGAGTTCAATAATTTTATTTAATATAACGAATCTTAAATTACTTGAATAATGTTATAACTAGAAATTAATTCTTTCAAACCTATAAGAAAAGTTTAAGACGTTCTATTAAATCATTTTCATGAGTATAAGTCTGTAAAGTTGATTTATTATTACAATAATATTTTTTAGTGTATGAATTGAGACATATAGAAGAATAAGTTATTTAATAAATTATCAAACAGTTATTCCACTTAATTAAAGTCTTTCTAGAAATTATTCTACAGCTTAATTATCTGAATGTTATTTAGTTTCATTTTGATAGCATAATATTTCAATATCAAAGATTTTTGATCTTATAATACCATTTGCAATCTAAATTAAAGAAGTATAATACAATTAAAAATATGTACACAATCATCAACAAACAACTAAGACAACCAAATGCAACAGTTATCATTTATAAAATATAATCATATAATTAATAAGTCTTAATTTGAATTAAATAAAGCATAGCTAAAGCAATGATAACAGTGCCAAAAATGTTTAGCAAAGTTTTCATAATAATTTTATTCATCCTGTATTTTTTAAATGATTGAGCATAAATTGAATTAGTTTCTCTTGCTTAATAAGAAGCCGAACAAGTTACACATTTAGGACTTCTTTATTTTATTATTTTTCTTTTAATACATTCTCTATGCATAATTACATTACAAAAACAAGGTTGAATCAGACAGTTTTCGTCAACTTTTTCTTATTAAACTAGATAATAAGAATTATTTTCTTCATTTTCTTCATAAGGGTTTTCATCTAAATAAAATTATTTGAAGATATATACTTAGTATACATTATTCACATGCTCTTTTAAAAAAAAATTACTATTTTTCTTAAATCATTTTAATCAAATATAAATATGAGTTTATAAATAAATAAAATTGCAATTTTCAAGATAAATTATGCTTATTTGCTGTTAAAATTCTATTTAAAAAATATTAAATGATTTAATAATTGTTTGATAATATCTTTGCCAATTTTTTCAAAGTAAATTATTACATATGTTGGGAATTTTATTTTAAAATTTTAAATGAAATCCTATTTAGAATGTTTAAAATAATATAATGAGAGAAAATATATTACTTATATTTTTAATAATATTTTCATACGCTTAAGAGGAGTAACTGAAAGAATCTACTTCATTGTAAGTAGAAATTCATATATTTGGAAACTCTGAATAATAAAAGGATAAAGAAGCTATAATATTTTAATTTGATGATCATTAAAAAAGAGGTAGATAATAGAATAAATTTTTGATTTAAGAATTATAAGAAAGTATAACAGTTAGTATTGAAAGAATAGCTGATGATCCAAATGATGCTATTTTTCTGTCAGAAGTCTAAAAATTATCATCTTTAAAAAACGAATAAGAAATTATTTAAAATGAAAATCCTAATTTTGGTTTCTTGAATCAATACATTTCAAGATTATAACCATCTGTAATTTAAGAAACTGAGTAAATAGAATCAGCATTAATTGATGGATAAAAAGAAACAAAATTAACAAATATTAAAACAAGATCGACAAAAATTGAAATAAAAAGATAAAATAGATAAAATGATAATAGTCTTTAACTATAAGAAGAATTTTTATTATACGAAAATCCTGTAGTTGAAGATGGAGAGAAATTTTTTGGATCTGAAGAGGAGTTTTTCGAAGAATAATAGGATCACTAAAATGAAAGTAAGTAAGAAATGAAATTTATTTAGATTATAATATATTTAAGAATGGATTATATGTAAAATATGAGAATGTCTTAAGAAATGAAGAAGTAAATAATGTTAAAGAAGAATCAAGATTGAATTTATTCTTAGAATTGGAAATATTAGGTGGAATTGTTATAGCTCTATTTATTGGATATTGGATAAAGTTATTGATGTAAAATAAAAATAATAAGGGAATGTTTAAAAAAAATTGATTAGTTTAATAAATTTAGTTATTGATAAAATAGTATAAAAATAAAAATGTCAGGAAAAGCAAGAGATTACTTTGGAACTTTGAAATCAGTATATAGATGTGTTATTATAGGCAGGAAGAACAGTGTTGAAGGAAGATAGAGCTAGAGATTGTATATAGCCAATTCAAAATTAAGTAATGTTAGTCAGTTACGTAGATATTAGAGACTCCTGCTCATATAAAAAAATATAGAAAATCTTATAAGCATTAATATGGATGTTAAATAGTAATTTTGATATTAAATTATAGTTACATCCTGGACTGGTAGATGCACCAAAACCATAAGGAAATTGGATATATGGAAAAAAGACAGATTTATCAGATAAAGCTGGAGAATTATTTAAACAAAAGCCAGAAGGAATAAGAGAATTAATAAATGAAATAAATGAATAAAAATATGCATCTCACGTAAAAGAACCATTAGGTACTATGCCATAAAGAAATTATAATTGGCCTGAAGAAACAAAATCTGATGGATTTGCATTTGGATAGAAGATTCCACCTTCAGAATATACTGCAAAAGAGGTTGTATTTCCACCAGATGCTAAAAGAGATGAGGATAGAATAAGATTAATGTATTTAAAAAGTCATGGAAATTTTGAAGCTGGGGAATAAAAAATTGAGAATATAATTGGAATATAAATCCTAATGATTTTAGATTTGGTTAGAAAGAAGATAGAGAATAATAATAGATGAAGAAGATATTATAACATGAATTAACTTAAAATTAGTATCCTAAAACAACTATAATATAAAAGAATTAAGAAGATTGGAAGAATTATAATGAAGATCCATTAGGTAAACCAAAAAATTTAGCATAATTAAATTAAAGAATGCCATAAATATTTGGAGAGATGAAAAAAACTGAATAGTGGACAGCTGGATAATGTATAAATGGTTAGCCTACTTAAAAGGAAGTTTAACATGATATAGATTTAGGAAAAGCAATTAAATTTGGTTTTAGAAATTAACCAAAACCAGGAGATGAAACTAGAGCATTTGGTGTACCTGCAATAAGAAATGATATAATAAAAAAGGGAATGAAATCAGTAGCAGATCCTTAGAATTATGGTGATGAAGTACCTGCTGTTGCTTTATTATTTCCTGAGAAATTCTCACATATGGGATTGTCAGAATAAGATTTTTTAAGTTTAAGAAGGAAATAAGAAATTAAAGAAATTTTTGAATCTATAGGTATTAAATATGGGATTGGGAAATTTGAAGGGATATTTAAGAGAGCAAAAGAAATAGTATTTTTATTTAAAATAAATTAAAGCAAAATATTAATGATGACAAAGTATCTGTAAAAGGATTTTAATTAGCAGTATAAGAGATGCATCATATTGATTGATTAAATAATAATATAATATGCAAATATCTAAGTGTATTCATGGATTGAAAAGTCGACTAACAGCCATAATCGGAGCTCAATGGGGTGATGAAGGCAAAGGAAAACTAGTTGATATCTTAGCTGAGAAATACGATTTTTGTGCAAGATTTAATGGAGGAGCCAATGCAGGACATACAATAGTTGTTGGTGGTGTAAAATATGCATTCCATTTATTACCTTGTGGAATCTTATATTAGACATGTATGAATGTAATTGGAAATGGCGTTGTTGTTAATATTCCAACTATGTTTGAAGGTATCTTTTATATCTATTTAAAGAACTGGCTTAATTAGATAAAAATAAGGTTGATTATACAGGAAGACTAGTCATTTCTAATAGAGCTCATCTAGTAGTTGATGGATTACTTGAGGCTGATGCTAAAAGTGAGAGTGATTCAAGAAGTATAATATAATATTCATTTTTAGAAAAATTTCTTGGTACTACTAAAAGAGGAATAGGACCAACTTATTCAGCTAAAGCATTAAGATAAGGATTAAGAGTAGGAGATTTATTACATTGGGATACATTTTTATTAAAATATCATGCATTAAATGCAAAACTTAGAGAATAAGAGGGAATTTAGATAGACACTTAAAAAGAGATTAATACACTTAAAGAATATAGAGATATATTGGTTAATAGAAATATGATTGTTGATACAATATCATTAATATCTAATGCTAGAAAAGATGGAAGAAGAATTTTAGCTGAAGGAGCTAATGCTACTATGTTAGATATTGATTATGGAACCTATCCTTATGTTACTTCATCCAGTACAAATGTTGGAGGAGTTTGCACAGGATTAGGTATACCTCCATCTGCAATTGAAACTGTTATTGGAATTGTTAAAGCTTATACTACTAGAGTTGGAGAAGGACCTTTTCCTACAGAACTTACTAATGAAACTGGAAAATATTTATAAAAAACTGGACATGAATTTGGTGCTACTACTGGAAGACCTCGTAGATGTGGTTGGTTAGATATACCTATTCTAAGATATTCTATTCAAATTAATGGACATTCATCAATTAATCTTACTAAATTAGATATCCTAACAGGTCTTGAAGAAATTAAAATTGGAGTTAATTATATATTAAATGGAAAAGTTATTGATTATATTCCTGCACAATTAGAAGATTTAGCATAAGTTGATGTTGAATATATCACTTTGAAAGGATGGAAATAAGATATTTCTGATTGTAAGACATTCTCTGATCTACCTATTGAAGCCTAAAATTATGTTAAGAAAATTGAGGAATTACTTGGAATTCCTGTCTCTTGGATAGGTAATGGACCTTAAAGAGAAAAAATTATATTAAAAGATTGAAGTTTAAATAAATAAAATCATTAATTATTACATCAATTTATACTTTTTTTATTATGTTATAAAAATCTATCCTTTACTCTCATTAAATTTAATACATCATTTGTAGTTTATTACATAGAAAATCTAATATTTATATTTATTCAATACTTATTATGTAATTACATTTAGGCTTGAGATCTTCGACTTTGCATAACATTTTTAGAGGGTAATGCTATTGTTTTCTTTTTTATCAACTATCTTGGAGTTTTTCCTTCATGTTCTTATAATATGGACTCAATCTGTTATACAAATTTCGAGTTACCATCTATCTCTACTTCTTTAAACTATTTCCATGAACTCAAAGGTTCTAAGTTACTTAATATTTATTCCATTTTTCTAGTCATCAAAGAACGCTTTAAAACATATATCATAACACTAACGTAATAAAACAAACTCTCCACTCCTGTTGTGAATTTTACACTATTTATAAAAAAATTAAAGTAAGCATTTTATAAAGAACTAATCAATCCTAACTTAAATAAAATCATTCCCAATAAATACTAAGGGGCTCTTGAAAATATTATTGTAAATAATCTTAATATTATCAAACTTATTACTTTACAAATGTCTACTAATAAGTATTTGCTTAATCACTATCAAAAAACCAAATTATCAATAAATGAAGGACTGTTTCATTTAAAATACTAAAAATATTCTTTGGAGTATCCTATTATTCACCAAATAATATCAATCCTTCTTAGAGTGTACATATTAACAAATGTCTTTTAAATTTTGTTGGTTAATCAGAATCATGTAATCTCACTATTATTTTACAAATATAATCTCCAATTTCATAAAAACAAGACTTTAATAAAGGCTTATATTAATGAAGTTCTTAATGTTATTTACAATTTAAATAAATTTCATTAATTATTATTCCACATTCACAAGATGTTTCTGATTTCAATTTATCCTAATCATTAATTCCATATAAATAGGCTCTAAATAGTTAGGTCAGTAATTCTTTGTTTAAAAATTATGGCAAAATGCTATCTTATTCAATTTTTAAACGTTAGGCTTATTTCTTATCTTATGATGTAAGACTCATCATATTATAGAAGATGTTAATAATAAGTTACTTTAATATGGAAATACAAGTTGGCAGTAGTTTTAAATCAGATTCATATTTTTTGGCTTTCCTTTCAAAACTACTAGATTAAATTGAGATTCTTGGACTTGGATATAACCCTTTCAATCTTCCACTTGAAAAACCTTCATAAAAGGAAGAGAAATCAGTGCTTTATTCAGTTTTTATTTGATAGCTTCTTGGTGTTTTCTTTGGAGACTATGCTATACTTAAGTTTATTTAATTTTTTCCTGCATCTATCCATTTTGATAACTCTTAATTCCCTACTGTTAATCTTGGCAGCTATTTTACAGTTGAAGCTATTTATTTATTTGTCATCTCTCTCTATTATAAAGTTTCTTTCATTTATCTTTTACTATTTCCTCTTATAAACTTATTATCTTAAAAGGAAATCGTTGGAACAAACAGTTTTTCTCTAATTGACATTTAAACTTTTGACTGATATTTTTATCTCTCTACTCTAAATAACATTAAATTATCAATATCTTTGCCTAATAATTCACTTACTGTTATATATTCTTTCACATTTTAGTTCATATGCCAATTTAATTAATTCATTCCATAAAATTAAATCTAATTTTTTCCTGCTTGTAATTAACCTAAATAATCTGTTAATAATTTCTTCTCATCTACATTAATTTCTTCCGAATGAATTAATCTATCATAATTTATTTATTATTTTAATAAGCCTACTATTTAGACAGTTTTATCGCTTTGACAATTTTTATTTGCTCTAAACACATCAACTTATAGCATTAATGAAATGCTTAAAAAATATTAAATCCAATTTGTACAGTCTAAATATTACCAAAAATGATCAAATACATAATTTCCCATGTCATATTCATCAGTGATTATTTCTTGAAAATAACTATTAATTAATACTCTGAACAATCATGGCTATGTTTTCATTATAAATTAAAGAAACTAATAAAAACATTAAATTAAATTCCACTATCATTAAAATAGATTATCTAGGATTGGTCTATAATAAAAAGTCTAAGATTAATGCAATCTAATTTAAATCAATATTCTTATCATAATCATTTAAGGTTTCATAAATATAATGAACTAAATAATATTTAAATGAGTATATACATAGTTTAAATAAAAATTAAGGTACAAGTTTAGTAATAATTGGATAATTATTTTCATTTATAATTATTTTTAAAGTCTTTAATGCACGCAGTAATTATAATTTATCGATACTTTTAGTTTAGTTTAATTTTCTTGAGCTTTAGTCATGTTTAATCTTAATATTACTATAATGATGTTCCTAAAACATAAAATATGAATACTTACCCATTCATGTATTATATCAAAATGAGAAGGATCAAAAATATATTTGAAAATTAATTCCAAATACTCAAAACTTCTAAAATAATCTAATTATTCATTAACCATAGGAGTGTTATCCTAACATATCCATTTTTATATCTCTTCATTAGGATCAATTTCAATTGAAGATTCAGAAGATTCTTAAGGTTCATCAATTATATCTTATTCACCCTAAGCAATACTTTGAGACCTAATAATTTAATTTGAATAAAAAACTAAAAATATTAATAATTAAATTTACATTAAACAATTTATTCATCAACTCTGTTAACCCAAGTGCACGCTCCAAAAATATCATTTTTACATTCTTCAAAACTGTCTACTACTAATTTTATAACTTATTCATCTCTTGTATTAAAAATGAATGTCATAAAGATTCCACTTCTACTTTCTAGAGATTATCTTAATTATTGCACCATGATAAATATTGGTTTTAAAAATGAAACTGCAAATTGTTTTGAAATGACTAGATTTTCAATAACATTTTTTGCCAATCCTTATTATCCCATTTATAACCCTAATATAATAGTTCAAGTACTTTGAGATACTTTTTCTACCTCTTCCAGGTGATCTACTACCTAACATTGCTCTTTATTCTTAAAGCAATGCTATTTCCAATAAACCCTTATAAAAACAATTCAAAAATTCGACATTATTAAATCTATCCATCATAATAGACAATAATAATTTAACAGGCTCTTCTTAAAATGGATAACAACAAAATACTCAAATAGTTAAGATTATTTACATTGTCTTATTAGATTCGAGTTTGTAAAGTTAGAATAAAAAGGCAATTATTATGCTAATTATTAACATCCTCTCGTTATATTTGTCATTCTTTTATAGTCATCTTCTTCATTTAACTATACATTTATAAATTTATTACAGCATATTCGAGTATCATCTTAAAAAAAATTATTAATCACTTTTATAATCAAATTTCTATATATTTGATCTTATAATTTCCATACTTATCTAAATTTTAAAATTTTGGATGTAAATTTATATCATTCTACAAATAAAAATTATTAAGCTGATCTATTTTAAGTCAATAGTGAAATCAGTAATAAGAAAATACTAATTTATTGGTAATTGAAAAATTATTCATAAAAATTTTAGTTTCTAATGATCTTTTTATAGAGTTTTGGAAAATTCTTTATTTTATACTTAAAATCTAGATATAAGAATGATAAACATTTTCATCAAAATTTTTTAAGTATTTCATTTTAATAATAAATTTGATTTACTAAATGGGAAATTGTAATAACAGCAAAGATGTAAATTTTGATGATGTTATGTGTAAATTATTTAAACAACAAATTTAAGTACCTTGTAAAGCTGATTTTGCTTTACTTTTTGTAATTGGTAGAGGAGGTTTCGGAAGAGTTTGGAAAGCAGAAAATAAAAAATCAAAATAATAGTTTGCAATAAAAGAGTTGAATAAATGCAAGTTAAGAATTAATTATAAAAGATCAGGATAATAAATAAGAAAAGTGTTAGCTCAGTAATGAATGAAAGATATTTATTAAGTAACTTAAGACATCCGTAAGAAAATAAAACTAAATAGGTTTTTAGTAAATATGCATACAGCATTTTAAGATAGAGAAAATTTATATTTAGTAATGGATTTGATGCAAGGAGGGGATTTAAGATATCATTTATGTAAACAGAGAAAATTTAATGAAAAATAGACAAGTATAGATTAAAATAAAAGTATTTAGAATTTTTTATTGCATGTTTATTGCTAGCCTTAGAATATCTACATACAAATACAGTATTACATAGAGATATAAAGCCAGAAAACTTAGTATTTGATAGGAATGGTTTAAAATGATTTAAATAATAATAGGTTATTTAAGATTAACAGATTTGGGTATAGCTAGAATTTGGAAACCTGATAATGATAATGATACAAGTGGTACTCCTGGATATATGGCACCAGAAGTAATGTGTAGATAAGCTCATGGAGTAGCATCTGATTATTTTGCAGTTGGAGTAATAGCTTATGAATGTATGATGGGAAAAGTAATTAAATACTTATTATATAGAGACCTTATATAGGGAAAACTAGAAAAGAAATTAGAGATTAAATTATGGCTAAATAAGTTTTAATTAAAATGAATTAAATACCAGATGGATGGTCAGAAGAAGCTGCAGATTTTATTAATAGAACTTTACAAAGAAAACCTATGAATAGATTAGGATTTAATGGACCTGAAGAAGTTCAATCACATCCTTGGTTTAAAAATATCAATTGGACTAGTTTTATAAATTAATCAGAAAAGCCTCATTATTCTATCAATGTAACTATCAAAATATATTTTTAGATTAATAATGATAATTTTGATGCAAAATTTGCAAATATGAAAGAGGATGAAGATCCAGAAACAATCCTATTAAATGGATAAATGCTAAGAAGATAATCAATCTAAGATTAATTTAATGGTTATACTTATGATTAAAATCTGACACAATAATAACCCTAAAATAGTATTACTTCTAAATAAACTATACCAAATCTAAATACATAGTAATTATCATCTGCCAAAAGAACTAACATAGAAGAAACTAATCCTCAATTATCTCAAATGTCTTCTAAAAAATATAATTTAATTTCATAAACTCCTAGATTACAAACTAGATAAATGCTTACTAGTGCAAGACCTTAAACTGATCGAAATCATTTTACTAATAAATTTTAATTCAACTGATTATTTAATTTATATTTATTTGTTATATGATATCAATTTATAATTAAATTAATATCAATCATTATCATTTTTAAGTGCTTGTAGTTTTGTCATTTTTTAATCCTCTCTTTCTTTTCATTATCTTTCTATTCTCTCATTTTAAATAATAATCTGATTTTTTAAAATACATAATAGGATTTATGCATAATCTGCTTAATTAATGCAGAAACTTTTTAAACTGTTATCTAAAAACTTGATGAGTTTATAACATAAAAAATAGGATAACTATTATAATTTTAAAAGCATTATTAAAGTTTAATATTAATTTTCATCTATCATTTACGAAGTTTTGAAGTATTTAGATTTATTGAAAATTACTTATGTTAACCTTTTTTAAATAAATTACAAAATATATAAAATATAAAAATTCAGTTTACCAAAATAATTGAAATCTTAGAAGATGTTGCGACACAAATTTCTATTCTAATTTTATTAAAAGAACTAGAGCAATCAACACTGATTAATTAATTATAAATCATCACTTATTATTACCCATAATTTAAAGAGTTAAATAAGAATTAAAAATATTTTTTCAGCACTTTAATAGTTTTATAATTTTAACTTAATTTAATAAATTTTAAGGAGAACCAAAATAATTTGCTTTCAAAAATAAAAAATTTTAAACTCAATTTGCGAAATTTCTAACATATAATTTTTAGTATACTATAAATAAATAAAAATCCTTTAGTTTTAGTTAAATTATTAATAATTATTTTACCAAAGTATTTAACGATAATCTCTAATTATTTTGTTAATTTATTGGTTTTATTTCTTGAGAAAATTAGAATTATTTCATTTTAGGATTTTCAAATAACCATTTAAGAGTTTTTGCTAATTCACCAATTTATTTTATTGTTTTTTGTACCAGTAATATAACTTAAAATATAGCATTGAGATTTAGTCTAATTATAAAATATTTACTAAATGACATGAATTATTTTATTTTACTGTATTAAGCGTATTAATACATATGGAAACCAATTAATATAATATTTTAATGAAAAAAAGTGGATATCAAGATGATCAATCTAAAATTTCCTTTTTTAATGATGGAAACCAATTATTTACTCAGATAATTGATGAAAATTTTCAATTTTAAGATTAGGGAAGTTTTCAAATGAAATATATCAATAAGGTTTCGTAAATAAAAATTCAATTTGCAGAAAATTATCTAAAAATAATTGATGAAGTATTAGAATATGAAAATTTTTGTTAGTTATCTTCTAAATATATTCAAATTGAAAATGCATGTTTACGAGTTGTTATGAATTTAAAAAACTAGTAATTTGGATTTAGAATAAGTAAAAATGGATAGCAAGCAGAATTTTATGGTAAAGACTTAGAATTAATCGAAAAGATAAAAAAGTATGTGATTTAATCAGAGTTTTAGAAGAAATATAAAATAATAGCTAAAATTGGTAGTGACTATTTATCATCTGTAAAATTTATAATTTATAATAAGGTCTATAAGGTATAGCATTAGATAAGTGGTTTAAAATATGCAGCAAAGGTAGTAGAGAAATCAAGGTTAACAAATGGAAGTAAACTTGAAAAGGATAACTTTTTAAATTAGATAAATATCTTAAGATAATTAAATCATCATAATTTGTTAAAATTAGAAGAAGTTTATGAGGGTGAATAAAATATATATATAATTACCGAATTATTGGAAGGAGGTCCAATTAAATAGTAGCTTTTGAATAATTCTCTTACTGAATAAGAAAAGATTAAAGTTATGCATTCCCTTTTTAGCAATTTGTATTAACTTCATAAACAAAATGTGTATCATTAAGATATAAGATATGATAATATTTTATTAAGAGATACATAAGATTTAAAGACAGCTTGTTTGATAAATTATTCAAAGGCAATACAAATTCCATCTAAAAAGAATACTCATATTCTTTAAGATTAAGAAAGCATGCTTAATTTATGTATGAAAAGAGATATACATTCTTTAAGCATTATTTTATTATCATTATTTACAAAGAAATTGTATAGAGAAAATTAAGTGTTGGATGAATTAATGATGAAAAATTCTCTATAATTAATTTAGACAGATTATATGGAATTATCTCCTTAACTTTATAGATTTTTTGAATAGATATTTAAAGATATGAACAAAAAATAAACGGATAATTTGAGTTGTGAAAGGATATTAGAATTAGATATTTTTAGAGTTCAATAAAAACCTAGAAATTCAAAGAATTTTATTGCTAAATAATTCTTACCTTTACTTCCAAGAAGAATGAGTAAATATGATCCAACTTAATCAGATAGAGAAAAATTAGACTGTTCTGTAAATTCTATAAAATTTCCACCCATAAATAGGGATTCTTCAACTTCAGCTGAAAAAAGCCTATCAAAGAGTCCTTAATCCTTTTGTCTTCTCTCAAATCATCATAATAATCATAATAATATAAAAAATAAAAGTAAATTAAGTTAAAAAACGAAGATGATTAAATGAAATGTTGATATTTTTGTGAATCTAAATTTTTTTAAATTTTATAATATAATGGTAGTGATTATAATTAAAATATTACTTACTTGAATAAAAGTTAAATTGAATTATTTATATATATAATAAAGTTGAATAGTCTATTATGATTGTATAAGAAGTTTTGAAAAATAAAAAATTGTTATATGATTGAATGTGAAGGAAGAATTAATAATTAAAATAATAATTGAAAACTTTTAAAAAAATTGAATATTTTGATTTTGAGATTAAATATTCATTAGAAAGATATTCTCATGTATTATATTTATAATAATTTAAGCACATTTATAATGCAAAATTGTGTGAATCATTTTTATTTAAATTCTTGCTTTTTGATTTTACTTGGACTTTCGTAAATAGTTGATTATACTAAAGATTTGGTATTACTTGGGGAATATCTTCTTATTGTACTATGTATAGAATAAAAAATATTACTTAAAGGCATTAATTGAATCTATCAATGAATAAGGATATTTTTATAAGACTTTCTCATAATATGGTACATTTGAAGTATATGTAGAATAATATGGAGAATATGCTAATGCTGCACTTGTTCTAATTTTATCTAATTCTGCTCTTCTAATATCTTCAAGTTATCTCAATCTTTCTAAACTACTTTATCTCTCCAAATTCTAATATTTAACTTTACTTTCTATTAATTCCCTTTCTAATTCTGCTTATCTTATTCTTTATTCTCTTTCTAAAGCTAATAATCTATTTTCTCTTTCTATATCTCTTGCTCTACTTTCAACTTCAATTTATTTAAGTCTTGCTTCATTTTCAATTAATCTTATTCTTTCTCTGCTTCTTCTTAAATCTTCATCTCTAATTCTATCAAGTTCTCTGATTCTATTTTATTCTTCAATTTATGATTATCTTATAAAACTTTCTTCTTAAATTTATTTAAGTCTCTCAGCACTTCTTTATCTTTCAGCATTTCTTCTTTTTTCATTCTCCAATTAAATAATTCTGTTTTCATTTTCAATTTATTCTAATCTTGATCTTCTTAATCTTTCAAGTGAATTCTCTCTTTATCTTACACTTTCTAATCTTAAAGATGGATAATAATAAGGATAGTAATATGGATAATAAGGATAAAAATAATATGGGTAATTAGATAAATTTAATCTTTCTAATGATCTATTATTTTCAACTGCTCTTATATATTCACTATCTCTTACTACACTTGATCTATATGGTAATGGTTCCATTAAATGAACTGCTTCAACTAATTCACTATAAGATATTCTTCCATCTTAATCTAAATCAACTGCATCAAAAAATGAATCTATCTCATCATTTAATAATGGTGCACCTTATTTTTACATAAATANTTCATTAGAAAGATATTCTCATGTATTATATTTATAATAATTTAAGCACATTTATAATGCAAAATTGTGTGAATCATTTTTATTTAAATTCTTGCTTTTTGATTTTACTTGGACTTTCGTAAATAGTTGATTATACTAAAGATTTGGTATTACTTGGGGAATATCTTCTTATTGTACTATGTATAGAATAAAAAATATTACTTAAAGGCATTAATTGAATCTATCAATGAATAAGGATATTTTTATAAGACTTTCTCATAATATGGTACATTTGAAGTATATGTAGAATAATATGGAGAATATGCTAATGCTGCACTTGTTCTAATTTTATCTAATTCTGCTCTTCTAATATCTTCAAGTTATCTCAATCTTTCTAAACTACTTTATCTCTCCAAATTCTAATATTTAACTTTACTTTCTATTAATTCCCTTTCTAATTCTGCTTATCTTATTCTTTATTCTCTTTCTAAAGCTAATAATCTATTTTCTCTTTCTATATCTCTTGCTCTACTTTCAACTTCAATTTATTTAAGTCTTGCTTCATTTTCAATTAATCTTATTCTTTCTCTGCTTCTTCTTAAATCTTCATCTCTAATTCTATCAAGTTCTCTGATTCTATTTTATTCTTCAATTTATGATTATCTTATAAAACTTTCTTCTTAAATTTATTTAAGTCTCTCAGCACTTCTTTATCTTTCAGCATTTCTTCTTTTTTCATTCTCCAATTAAATAATTCTGTTTTCATTTTCAATTTATTCTAATCTTGATCTTCTTAATCTTTCAAGTGAATTCTCTCTTTATCTTACACTTTCTAATCTTAAAGATGGATAATAATAAGGATAGTAATATGGATAATAAGGATAAAAATAATATGGGTAATTAGATAAATTTAATCTTTCTAATGATCTATTATTTTCAACTGCTCTTATATATTCACTATCTCTTACTACACTTGATCTATATGGTAATGGTTCCATTAAATGAACTGCTTCAACTAATTCACTATAAGATATTCTTCCATCTTAATCTAAATCAACTGCATCAAAAAATGAATCTATCTCATCATTTAATAATGGTGCACCTTATTTTTACATAAATAGTTATAAAGTTTCTTTACTTACAAAACCTTAATTAAATAAATCTAAAGATTTAAAAGCTTCTAATGTTGAATAATCTAGAGAATTCACCAAAGCTTATCTTGCATGATTTATTGATCTATAATTATTTATTTCTTATGTAAATAAATCAGCTAATGCCAATTCTACTTCATTTGGTAATAACATTCCAGGTTCTATTTAATATGGTGTTCTTGCTTTTGCTAAATCTCTTAAATTATTATTTCTTTTTGGTAAAATATATTAAATAAAACTATTTATATAAGTTTATATAATACTCTCCTAATTTTATTCTTCCATCTTTATCCCAATCTAATCTCTTAAATAAATATGCTGCTTCAAATTAAGAATGAGATATTTTATTATCTTATAAAAATTCAATTATATCACTATGAGCCAATTGATTCACTCTACTCTAATCCAACCTTAAAAATGCTATTTATTTTGTCAAAATCATTACCAACTTCAACAGCAAACATCTCAAGTTATGCCAATATTTATCTTCTTTTTTCAATTAATTATTCATTTTGTGCAATTGCTTATATTACACTAGCTAATCTAACTTAAGTAGTCAAAGTCAAACTTGATTAAGAAAGCATAATAAATTTTTATTTATGAATTAATTTTAATATTAATTTTTATTGTTATAAAAACTTTTATAATTAAATAAATTCTTTATATTCGATAAAATTATATTATATCATTATTTTCCATTACTTTATACTAATTGGTGTGATAATTACAATCCAGAAGATTATTTATATTTTTGTTTATATTTTTTTTATAGATTATTGCAAATCTTTATTTAAACAAATATTTACATATTAATATAAATTTAATTCATTTATTTTTGTAAATAATAGAAACAAATTATTAGAATAATTATTTCAATAAATTAATAGACATTCAAGTAGATAGCAATACATGAAATTAGATTGTAGACACTCTGAAATCTTTTCTTAACAAACCTAAACAAAAACAAGAGAGTCACCTGAAAATAAAATTAAAAAAACAGGACACTGGTCTGAATAAGAACACTAACTTTATATTGATTTTCTCTATCAATCTTAAAATTTGGCAGAATCATCAAAGAAAAACAAAGGATAAAAATTATTTAAGAAAATGAGTGAGACTATTATTACTCGAAGTCCTAGTTAATGTCGGTATGATTCATAAGTAATTTAATATAGATCTCATCATTAAAAATTTAATCCTTTCAGTGGTTAGGGAAGACAGACAATGGTTTTAAGGAGAACAGATTAATCACATAGCAACTATTACCTTTAAATGAGGAGTAAACAATACATAAGATAATTATTTCATAAACTAAGAATTAAAAAGTCTGAATCTACGTCAGAGCAAGAAATTTGTTAATTTATTTAATGAGTATAATTTATATTATATATAATCAACTTTTTTTAAGTTTAACATATAGCAGCTGGTTGAAGGCTGTATTCTATGCATTTTTAAATTCATTTTTATTAATTTTTCATCATATCTAATAGAATGAGAAAAAAATAATTCTTATTATTGATTATTAGTATAATTATAGTCAAACATATTTAATTTTAAGAATTATTTCCAAATTAAAACCTGAGAAAATATAGATGAAAAATAAAGAATAACTAAAAATGGTACATAATAAAATATTTATTTATTTATTAAAAAAATAATATTCTATCTCTTAATTTTAATTTTTTTTAGAAAATGTGAAATTAATTGTTTGATGTAGTGAATGAATATCAGAGTAAATAAAAATTCTATTATTCAATATTAACAAAATTGATTCACATAGATATTAAAATCATATTTATTTTAAAGTAAATTAAGATTTTCGAACTGGTTTTAATTTAAATCTCCCAGGAGTTCTTGGTGATAAAAAAGGATGTTAAGCAATAGGAGTATTAGGTGTTTATGGACTATCATCCAGATTGCATTTAGTAAGACCGTAAGGACTAAGACTAGATAATGAACTTTTAGGACTAAATTAAGTAGATAAAGCAGAAAATTAGTTAAGTTGCTATTCACAATTAGTGAATTTCTTTAAAACAAGATTTTGTTTCCGAATTTTAAATAAAGATGTTTTATAGTAATTTTCTTTTGCAAACCAAGGATGATTTAAAGCTTCTTCTGCACTAAATCTTTAAATTGGGTTTTTATTCATTAAACCTTTTAAAAGATTCATACCAATTTCACTTAATTTACAATCTTCAAATTTAACTTTAGCATAATAATTTCTCATCACAACATCATCATAATCTTTGCCATCGAATGGTGATTTCCCAACAATTAAAATATACATAAGTATTCCTACACTGTATATATCAATTTTAAAATCATAAAGTTTATCTTATAATAATTCTGGTGCAACATAACCTGGTGTACCACATCTAGTAAAAAGATACTATCCACTAGATGTATAATGATCAGCCAAACCAAAATCTCCAATACAAATATTATCAAGATCATCTTTGTTTCTTAACATAATATTTTCTGGCTTTAAATCCCTATGTAATATTCCTTTTTCATGGATTTAATAAACTGCTTTTAATATTCTAAAAATTAGCTTTGAACATTTTTCTTCTGTAAAGGGAGGTGACTTCTTTATATATTAATGAAGTTCACCTCCTCTTAAATATTCTAAAACTAAATATAAACAATCATCTCCTTCAAATACTTCATATAATTTTATCACTGACTCATTTTAAATTTTCTTCATGATTGAAATTTCTTTAATAATTGACAATCTATCAACACTCTCTTTTAATTTACATTTTTTGAAACATTTGATAGCATATTCTGCTCCATCAAATTTATTTGTTGCTTAGTGAACCTAGTCATATTAAAATTAAATACATCTGCAAAATTCCCTTGTCCTATTTTCTTTAATAAAGTGTAATTCTAAGAAAAATTTCTTTAGATGCAATATTATCTCAAATAATTATACCATGGTTCCACATCTCCATAGAACTCAAAATATTATTTATTTTTTTAAATTCTAATTCCTAGTCCAACACTTTAATTTTTTACATATTCCAATGTTGAATTGTTCAAGTTCACCCATTTTTAAAGTTTCTATTGGTTTTTATTTAAATAATACCTATTTTTTAAAGTAAAGCAAGTAATTCTTCTAAATGCCTAGATTGCGTTTGCAAAATTCTTGATCTTTTTGAATGTACATTGTATCTTGCATTTCTAATATTTAATCTTAATTGGGTAGACTATTATATACCCAGAATGTTGGACTTTCGGGATCATCAAAAAAAGAATCTTTTAATTTCACATCCATTTCTTCAATAATATATTAAATAAGTAAATCAAAAATAATTACTGAGATTATAAAGCCTTTAAATATTTAAAAGTTAATTCATTAAACAATATTTTACATTTTAATTATAATCATAATTTGTATATGCAAATTCAAATCTTACTCAATTTTAGTTACTATAATAGAATGTATATAGAATTGAGATTAAATTTTGATGAAAATTTATCATATGTTGTAAAATCTATTTTGAAGCTTTAATTTCCACTTTATTCCTTTAAAAATATATGTTTCATTGATTATTTAATAATAAGTAATAAGGAATAATGAAAAATAAAGAAAATTTTAAATTATTTCTAATTATATTTGTATATTATAATACTCTACTAATAGATTAATATTAAATGCTAATCATAATTTTTTTACTTGCTAAATCATCCTGAAAAAAATATTTAATTTATTTTATAATATAAATCTGAATGATTTTAATAATTGTATAATTTAATCATATTTAATCATTTTTTAACTCCTCTAACATCAGCTTAGGTTCTATCACATATAGTATTTAAACCACCATGATTCTTATCAATAGTTGATGGACCTCCATTTGCATGAACTCCAGTATAAAGATTTTTATCATCATGAAATTTGACAGCATCTGCTTTTGTTCCAGCAAAATGTGGTCCACCAGCATTTAGAATTTAATTGTGAACATCTTAAATTCCTACTCCTTTCTTTTCAGCCATCATTTACAAACCCTTTTCAAATTAAGCATATGCTATAGTTCTTGCTGCTGGTGTTGGTTTGATTTTAGCAAAGATTAAATCTACATCTGTAGATGTCAATTTCTTATCTAAGAGATGACAATCTTTTGAAACTTTAGCAAAGGTTTTTCCATCCATCTCTGGTTTATTTCCTGTAAATTACAAGAAGACTTATTAAACATTGCCCTACATATTTTTATTATTATCTTTTTTTAATATTTTTCAGTGCTTTTATATATATAATATATTAATTCCAGTAAAATATAATATAAATACAATAATAATGCATTATCAATTTGATGCCATTTTCATTAATTTTAATTACATTTAATTCCAATTCCCAATAGGAATTTCTAAAATTTAAGATAACTGCGTTTGATGTCCTTTAATTAAAAAATATTTTAAAAGTGGATCACTTTCATTTTATCTTGCAAGTAATCTCGATCTATTAGATTGACGAATAAACATTAAATCTAATAGTATATTTCGAATTTAATCAATATACTTTAAATTTTTACTTTGCTAAGCTGCCAATTCCAATTTCTTTAGCTTAGTCCAAAAATGATAAAAAGATGGTATAGGGTATAGCTTCTTAGTATTTGTTGGTGTATAAATATGTTTATTACACACAAATGTTTTAGTCATATCAATTAGTATCTATTATTAAATTGGACTTATATATTAAATAGAATGCAATAAATCTTAGTCTAATCGTTCAATACTTAAAGTAAACAATAAAAATACTCCTTCACCATCTTCATTTTTACAAAGTTCTAAACAAACTTCATAGAAATAATCTATTGCCTTTTTTCTATCCTTCTTTTTTAATATAACGGTTTGAATATACAATGAAAATGAGTTTACTCTATCAAAATATTCTGTAAAAAAATCACTCTTTTTTGTTTAATATAAATTGGTCAGTAAATTATTAAATTATATTTAAGAGTAGAACTCTTCATTTATTTCTGTTATTGCATTTCCAAGTACTTTAGGATCTAATTAAAATAAATCCATTTCTTCATAACCTATTAATGATCTTGGAAATATTTCATAGGGTTTGAGCTATCTCAATTGAATCCTATTATCAAACAAGAAATGGATGAAGTGTTCCATTACATAATCTACATTCAGACAAATATATCTAATTTTAATTAATTAATCTACAATTTTTTCTATTATCATTAATTCCTCCTTATTTCTCAATTATTTCCAAAATAAAAATAGTAAAAATGTTTAAATATTCATGTAATAATCTAAAGTAATTACTAATGTTTTCATTTCATAGTTTTCATTTTATTTCTTAAATATTTATTCAACTAATTATAAAAATATAGAATTAACATGAATGTTAAAAAAATTATTACAAGATTCCAAATTTAATAAATTTTTATGTAATTACATTGAATTTTTTAAAGATGCAATAAGAAGAGTTTAAACTTAATCACATAAAATATTATTATTTACACTTGCATATTATATAAATGTTTACTTTTCAATTATTTTTTTTGCTTTTTCGAAACTTAAGTGAAATGGAAATTTTGTTGATTCTCTTTTATGAGAGTTTTCTTATTTAATTGTCTCCTTTTATTATTTCTAATAATCTATTTTTGATTATTGTTAATCACCAACAGATGGTCGAAGCCAGAATATTTTCATTAAAAAAATTATAAAAATAAATGAAAGATTAATTCATAATTCTAGCTATTAAAGAAATATCTAATAAAAAATACAATTTCTTAGACTAAAAATGTATTTAGATATCAAAATAGTTTTTATTTGATTTTTCTTAAAATAAAATACATTATTTAAATGTTTAATTTATTTTATCTCAAAAAGGAACTTTAAAATAATCTTGATATTGTTTTTGTATGTAATAATGATTAATTTTGAATGAATTGAAATTTGGATCAAATGGGGAAAAAAATTAATAGACAAATTATATTAAAATAAGACATATATATTATAATTTTGAAATGAGTATTACTTTTTCGAAATCTGAATTCTTTTTCTAAATTAAAAGTGGAAAAATGAAATATATTATAGTATATAGAAACAATTTAATTTCTTAATTTTTGATTTTCAAAGCTGTCTAAATGCATATATGAATTAATTTTGGATAAATTTAAGAATGGTATTTAAGTCATCCTCTCGAATTATTTTAGATCTTTTATAAAAGTTATATTAATCTTAAAATAATTATAAGGACTTGCCAAAATAACATAATTGAAAGAAAAAATATATATTAATTTCAGTTCTGAATAAATAATTGAGTTCTTATAGAATGGAAACATATATTTTAGAACTAAGTATAGCTAAATAGTGATGGTTTAGGAAGTGAATTAATTTCTTAACAGATGAGTTAATTATATTAATTTTTCAATAAAAATGAGTTAAGAGCGTTTAGAATAAAGACCAGAGACATCTAAATGTTCTAGATTAGAAAAAAGAAGAATGACAAATTAGAATTCTTAAAGAAATCGTACTGCATTTTAAAGCAGAACAGCTTAAAATTTTAATCCTAATAGTTACAATGGAATGACATTAGAAGAATATTTCAGAAAAAGAGGATAAGACAATAATATTGCATAAGTAGAGAAAAAAAAAAAAGTATAACACATTAGTAATTTAGTTTTTGGTTACTAGTAATGAGTTCTTTAAAGAATTCTAAAATTAAGATGCGATGAGAAGAACATATATGGGTGATAGCAAATATATGAATATGAAATAGGATATGAAAAAGAAGATATAAGATTATGATAAGGATTTATTTTAGAAGTATGCTAATAAATTTGATTTGGGAAATGGTTTTGGAAAGTGAATTAATTTATATATATTCACGATTTTTAATAAAATATATATAAAGATCTCATTAACTTTAAGCAAATTATATTCTTTTCAAGTTTGATTAGGGTAAATTGAAATAAGTAAGATTAATTTACTAAGCTCACTTGTATCAATTTAAAAACAGGAAATGTTAATTCAAATTATTAAGCATCTCCTGATCATATTGATGAACCATATTCAAAAGCGTTGAATTTATGAAATCTTTAGATAAGAGATCTATCGAAAAGTAAATTCATATCAATGATTAAAATTAACTAAAATAAAAAAAGATTCAGAAATTGTGAGGAAATTCTAAATTTTTTTTTTTGATAAAATCTTTTTAATATTTAAGAATTATTATATTATCAACATGCGAAAAGCGTTTAATGTTAGCAGTGAAAAGTTCTGGTTTTAGATTTCAATTATTTATGATTGAGAAATACTGTGAAATAAAACATATTAATTAATCTGATAAATTTGTTTAAATAATGATATTTGAACTACTATTGCTAATAATTAATATAAATGGGTTTTCAATTTCAAAGACATATAGAACTTAAGGTCTTCAATATATTGATATAGATTTGGATTAATTTAGTCAAAGTTTATCAGGATAAACAACATTAAGTATAATATTAGAAAATACATCAAATGTATCATATCCTTTTTTGGCTTATTGCTTTAATAATGATGAGTAGATTGTCAAATCAATAATGACATAACTAAGTTCAATTTAATATCAAATAGAAACAAATAAGTAATATAAATGTCTATTTAGAAAATAATGTTTATTTGATAATAATGCTTTATTATATTATCAAACTATATAACAGTTTGTCTTTACAAATAATATTGATTAGTAAAATGAATGGATTTACAGCTAATATAGTGTTTATTAATTAAACTAAAGTAAAGTAAGACTATATGTTTACTCATCCTTAGAGACATCATATAGAATAACAATTAAAAAATCAGAAAAAGGAGAATGTTATAAGTTTAAATTAATTATAATTTAGTTCGTGTATTAACTAGGGATATTGTAGTGAAAGAGCAGTAAATTTATGTTTATGTGATTCAAGAATATTAGATAGTACATGTTAACTAACAAGTAATGTAGTTAATATTAAAAGTAAATCATAAGTATTTTAATATTTTATTTAGTTTTCAATGGAAAAACTGTCATAAAATATTTTTATAATCCCTATTCTTGATATTACTTCTAATATTGTTATTAAAATAGAATCAAGTATAGAAGTTAAGCTTTATATTGGTTGTTAATATGAAAAATAATATATTCCATTCGATTAGAGCAACTCATACTATAAAAAGATTATAAGCAATGGAAAAGTATTATTTAGTTCTAAAGAGCTTTAAGATTGTTTTGAAAATGCAAATAAAATATAACAATCTTTAGAAGTATAATTATCTAAAAATTTAATTATTTTACTTGTTAATGAGAAAAATGAGAATAGCAAAATAATATTAATAACAACTACTTAAGATTAAGATGAAGATGAAAGTTCTATAGAAATGATTTATATTATTTCATGTGTATTAGGTAGCTTAATAATTTTAATTGGGATGATTATTTTGATAATTTATAAAAAAAGAAAAGTTAAAAGGATATTGATTATATAACCAAATAGCGAAAGAGCAAATAAATTAAAAGCTAAGAAATTTAGGTATTCTCTAAAATAAGATTATATTGCAACTGAAATTTATGATTAAATTATTTAAGAATTTCCAGGGCTTTTGGAAACAGAAGATTGTTAGATATGTTTATTGTAATTTAAAAAACAAGACATGGTAAAATTAACATATTGTTTGCATTTATTTCATTAATTTTGTTTAGATGAATGGAGAAAAAGAACTTAAGTATTATATTTAATAGAGAATAGACATGTCCATTTTGTAGAAGTAATTTAACATAAGAAAAATATATGTAATAAATATAAGAAGAATAAATAATAAGATTAGGAGTGATTATTGATGATGCTATATAAATTGATCCTCAAAAATTATAGGATTTTTAACAAAGAGAATAAAGAATAAGATAATTACAATGTAAATGAACTTTAAATAACAATTAGAAACCTAATCTCCAGGATCTGAGAATATAATACAAATTAACACTCCTGGGCTATGTTAGTTTAGCGAAAACTGACATATTATGATTTATTATATGTTTCTAAATTTATTATTGACTCTAGGAGTTGCTGATTCGATTTTTAGCAAAGGATATAAATAGATGAGTGGATAAATTAATATAGAAACTGATATCTTCGACAGAATTAATTTGACAGTTGATTAGAGATTGATAATTACTCTTAGTAATTATTATTCTCATAAGTTGCCTTTATTTTTGATCTGTAGAAAATCTCCTTCATTTTCTAAAATTCCTGATTACTTTGCTATTAAGAAGTAAGTGATATATAATATATTTTTACTAGCAACCAATGTGTTACAGATTTAAATTCTTATGATTTTCAGAAATCCTCTTAAACTATTGTAATCGAATTTTAACCTTAAGATAACAATTATTTGAATATTATACACTTGACTAAATCTGCAAAAGCTAACATTCTAGTTTACTTAGAGTAAAAAAGCGATTTTGTTATAAATTTTGACATATAAGACAAAAATGTATGCTATGTGTAAATAATCATAATATGTAGAATATGCTAAAATCAAGGAATATGTAAAGATGGATAGTGTATGTGTCCAGAAGGATTTATTGGTAATGATTGTAGCCTAAAAGTCTCAGATTTATCTGCATAATAGGAATTGGATCCATTTACAATTTATTATTTAAACATAAGAGAATAAAATGTAATATTATTATTTATAAATTAAGTCATTACGATTTGATTTTACTGAAAGATGTAGTTTTACATTTCATTGTATTGGTGAGAATCCCTTTTATTCAAGAGGTGAATTAGAATTCTAATCTTATATTGAAATATTATAAGAAGACTCTCAAAAATGTCTAGAATAAATAAATTCATATAATCTATAGTTTTCTTTACATACATAACCATTATACCTATTTACTTCTAACAATCAAATTCAAATTGCATCTGACTCTTCAGAAAGCTCAAATAAAAATACTATTGTTTATATTGTAACTTCAATTGGATTATCATTACTTTTAATTATTATATTTGCTTGCTTTAAATGCAAAAAGAGTACTCCCTAAATTAATAGTCTTTTTGGAGTATCATCTTCTATGTCTCAAAAAATAGCACTTATAAGATAAATGAATAAATTTATGCCAATTTAAACATATTAAGAATTAATTAAAAAATTCCCAGGTTTAAGTGATGATTAAAGTTGCCCTATATGTTTAGAAAATTATAAAGAAGACCATAAAATTAGGGTATCTTATTGTACACACTTTTTTCATTCAGAATGTTTAGATCTTTGGATTGAAAAAAACGAAGTATAAAATTATCAAATATTTCATAGATTTGTCCTACTTGTAGATCTTCTTTAAATTATGAAACCCTTAATAAATTAACCAATACTGAAAATAATGATGAAGGATTATTCTAAAATGCATCTTCAACAAAATAAATTAGCAATTATTCTTCGCAAAAAAAAATTAGATTATATGGAGAAAACAAATCAGCCAATTCACCAGTAATTACACTATGAGTTTACTATATTTTAATATTGACAGATTTGTTATCTAATTAATAAATAATTATTATTATGTTATAATTTATTTCCTGATACTTATTTCAAAACTTAGTTGAAATTCTAATTTAAAATTTAATAAATACTAAGAAGCTAAAATATGGCAATAAATTATTATTATGAGGATTTGCTTCCAATAAATTCGTTGACAATTTTATATACTCAGAATAATCATAAATCAATAAAGCATTTAAAAATAATTAACTTTATCCAAATATTTAAAAAGAATTTGTTTTATAAAATAATTAATAATCTATGAATTTTAAAAGTCATGGAATCTGTATAAAAGAGTTCTGTAAATGTTCTTTAGGTTAGGTTTAATATGATTGTGATGTAATTACAGCTAATAATAATAATCAATAAAACAACCATTTTTTAGATGTTAAATCCTTAAACTCATCATTGTCTAGTTAGTAGATTATATTATTGGATTAAATTAAGAATTAAATGAGTCCATTTTTCGTTATATTAACTAATGTCATTTATTTAACTTCTATTCAAATATGAAAAACTTTGTAGTAGATTATTATTAGGAATAATTTTAAACATTATATTATTTTGACTAATATATAATTGATTTCTAAAAATAAATTAATTAACTTAATAGAAGTTATTTAATAAAATTAAATAAAACACCATAATAAATTTGGTTGAAAATGCACAAAAATACTTTTCGATGTGCAGAATTGAATTCTGACTTAAATAGATTCAAGACAAAAAAGAAATAGAAATTGAAATCTTATAAAATTATAATAATAAATCACTAATTTTAATTATTAAGAATTAATAATAGATATTATTTCAAATTATGACAATTAATCAATTGGGATCTACTTGTAATCCTAAAAATTGATGTTTATCATTAGCACGTAATTATCTATGAAATAATTAAAAATTATCCTAAATTTATAAATGAACTTTTACTTTAGCACTTGCTCCTTCTCTTAAGAATTGAAGTAATATTAATCCTGGTTCTTAATAATTACCTTTATCTAAGAAATTGGGTCTTTTATGATCAACAAAGTTATGATTTAAATCAGTAGATGGGAAATATTTTGTCCACTGCTTACTTTATTTAAAAGTTCCCATATAATCATCAATTAATTATTATTATTTTTATTCATCCTTTAATTATTTCTTTAGATCTTCTTCAATAGCAAATTATGGTCTTTAATCATGCTCTGACATAAGATGAGGATTAGTTAAGGGATCAGGTTTAATTCTTGTCTTAATTTACTGATAAAATTACTTTAAAAAAAGGTTTATTTTTATCTAAAATTTCATCTCTAAATTTATGAGCTGATGGAGGATTGTAAAAATCTTATAATTTCTCTTTTTCTCTTTATTTTAAATTTGCTAATTTATTTTTTAAAGTCATGACATCTTCTGGTTTAAAGGTTGAATAAAAAATTTATTTATCAGTTTCTTAATTTTAATCACTTTATTTTTTTGGTTAAAAATATTTATATTCAGTAGATACTAATTATGTATCGGATAATCCATAATATGGTTTTCTTAATAATACAGGTTAAGATAAATATTTAGCAGCATTAGTTTAAGTTAATTCAAATTCACTACTTTATCTTAATGAATTAGTGGTTTCAACTTTATAATTCAAGTTTTCTGGCATAAATTTTAAAATAGGGTTTCTACCTGTTCTACACAATTTTTATTCTTTACTCAATCTCTCTGCTTCATTAAAATATGCTTAAGTTTCAAATTTAATAGTTGGGAATTCATTTGAATCTATATTATGACTTATCTAATAAATTTGATTTGTTTTACAATTTAGAATTAACAACTTTCTCAAAAGGATTATCTTTTTCTTCTTCTTTAATAATTCCATTATTTATAGGTTTGATTAAATCAGTTTCTTATAAGACTATTCCAGCTTCAGGTTTATCCTTATTAAATTTATGAATTTCTTTTAATTAAGATGTATGAATTATTTATGATTAAGAACAATTAAGTTTTGGTTTGAATGAAAAAGGTTTCATTTCATGCATATCTAACACTTTTGTAATTTTAACTGGTGGTAAATCATGTCCAGTTGGTAATTTTTCTCCAGCTGCCAATAATAATTATACCCATTTATCTCTAAATGGTCTAGGTTTCTCAATCCAAAAATGATTCTCATTTAATACATAATGTATTTATACTAATATTTATATAATTTCAATTACCTGCTCCTAAAATTTCATCTACATTTATTGGCTCTTTTAATTAATCCTTAAATGCAACAATTCTTTTACTTAATGCTTCATCAATCATTGCTTATGCTAACTATAAATTTATATCTAATTTAAGTACTTCATCTTCAAAAAATAAATAATGCTTCTAACTGAATTTCAATATATCGTCTTTCTTTATCCAACCATCATTATCTTAATCCATGCATTCTACCAGCCGTATTATAGATATTCTTGGAATCTATGTGGTCCTATGTATAAGTTTATCATATTTCCTAGGCTTTGTGAAGGATCTTCCTGGAGATTGATTCCTTTATTAAACAATAGACATTTCTTCCATTTTAGAAAGACTTTTCATTTTTTATTTAATACTATAATAATGAAACTGTAATTACTAAATACACATTAAAAAATATACATCCAAACCATAATAAATTTAACCAACTTTATAACAATACATCCATAGGGGAGCCTATACATTAAGAAGCATTCAACATATCTTTAAATTTACTTATATAATTTATTATTTCATGTTAATTTTTTTTTTTTTTATAAGTAGAAGTAGAATAAATACAAACATAGGAATTAAATGATGTGGTTTTTAATTCTGAAATTTATTCATTTCATAATTTAGATAATAATTATTTTAACTAAATCTAAAATATTAAAAACATTCTGAAAAAAATCTTTTCTTTCAGGAATTGTTTGTAATTTCTCATAGTATTCATATTAGATTAAGCTTGGGAAGCAATTAAACAATTATTATTTTTGTAAAATTTATTGAAAAATTTCTTCTGTTCAAACTTTTAAAAGAAAAACTGCATAAAACACAACTATTTTTAAGTATTTTCTTCTAACTTTTTATTTAAATAACATGAAAGATTATCCCAAAAAAAAAGATGAATAACAAGGAATCTTCTTATAACGTAGTATTTCTGCTTATTTATCTTAAGTTTTGCATTAATCTGTTCGCAAATCTTCTTTTCTTATACAGTTTTTTAATAGTAGGCGAGAATTATAAGCATGATTATTTCAATCAATCTAAATCCAATAATAACGATTAATTCTTATTTTGTCAAATTATTCATAAAATAATAATTGATTATTTCTTAGAAATCAATTTTGTACTAAATATCAATAATTTTGGAAAAAATGGCTTTTGTGTGTCAGAATCTAATTTTTTATTTAAAATTAAAGATTTAATTAATCAAATTATATTTTCAAAAATACTGATTATTGAAAATTAAAATCAAAGCATTTTAATTTTTGCTGAACATGATAAACTAAAACAAAAATAAGCTTAAGGAAATTGATTTTTGAATGGAATTTCGGCTTTTTTTGATGTCTTAAAATAAATTTGTTTATTACATGTAAATTTACTATAGATAATGATTATTTATTTTATTCTTTATTAAAAACAAGCATTAGTAATTTTTAATTATCTTCGGAAAATAATTGTTTAGCTTCATAGGGAATGAGTAATTCAAGATTCTTCTAAACATACTTTGCTTATTCATTTATTAGAATTAAATCTTTTTTATGATCATCTTCTTAATAAGAGCATTAATTAAGGTTTCCAATAAATAATCCAAATTTATTTTAATTTTCATTATTAAAACTGCAGCCTTCATAAGTAAAACATAACTTTACTACATTTTCTGCTAATAAATATAGGTTTGGCTAAATAATTGCCAATTTTTTCACTAAAATCAATATGAAACATAATACTTCCATAATTACAGATTAATACATCTTCTTTTATTTCTATTGATTCATAAATATGGGGCCTTAAAATTTCTTTTTAAAAATTCGTAATTCCATAATTCTTATTTCTTGTTTAAAAGCCTTATAGAACTACTTTTTTATTTTTGACCAGTTATTAATTTGGAGCAAATAATCTTTCGAATGTTTTTTCATCAAATTTCATTGAACTTATTTCTTGTATTTTTGCAAATAAAGTTTCATCAAAATTTTATGATTAAAAATTCAATAAAGATGCTTATTCAGAAAACTATTAAAAATCTTTTAATGTCCAATTATAAATATTTGCTCCTTAATTAATTTTAAAAATTGGACATTATTAAAATGCAAATTTTAATTCTATTTATTCCTTAACACTTTTTAGAAACTTATCTACAGATCTTTAGATATCTTCCTAAACTTCTTATTAATATTGTTTAATTTAATTAATTTTTTTAGGAATGTCTTTTATGAAAAAACAATCCTTAATGTGATTTTAGTGTTCATCCAAACAAATGTCACACATTATTCTATTTTATGTACAGTTTTTATTTAAACATATTCTTTTTATTATTTCTTAATTGCAGTTTCCAGTATTCTAACATTCTATTTCAATTTAGTTCATAAAAATAAATAATTGAATAAAATAAGTATGAATTTTAATATAAATAAAACTTATAAAAGATTAAAATTACATTAAAATCATAATAATATAGTTATTAGATTTATAAATAATTTTAATATTAAATTCATAAAATTTTTAAAAACTATCATCTTCATTTTGGAATTCCTTTATGAATTATCCATTACTTAAGAAGAGATAGTTTGATGTCTGTATTAAAATTTACTATTTTAAATTCAATTTATTCTGTCTCATAAAACTCTAGATCATATACTTGATCAACAGAAATGAAATATTATCTTAAAATAAATTTTGACAAAAGCCTTTTTTTCGATTGATGAATAAATCTCTAATACCATCTAAAAAATCAAAAACCATGAAAATAATACACTTATAAGATTTTAGGCAAAAAATTATAAAAATAATAGTTGAAATCTTAGGTAATATCTATTCATTATTAAGAGAAAAAATAAAAAGTAAGTTTCTTTTGGTTTGTTAAGAGCCATAAATTTTAAATGATAATTCATTTAGTTGTGATAAAAGAAATTACTCTATTCCAAAAATTATAATAATTAGATTAAATTAGCATATTATCAAAAATGAAATAAATAGCAAAGCCTGACAATATAATATATAAGTATAAATGATAAAAATATACCACCTAAATATAATATTTTTAATATATTAAGTTAAAGTTAATTTTGTCAATTGTCAAATTTAAGTATCTGTAAATACTTTTGGCTAAAATGCTAATCTCAAATAAAAGTTTCCATAATACAAAATATTGCAACAGTAATAATCATAAAAAGCTTATTGACTATTGGAGTAGATTGGCAAGAAGTATTTAATATATTCATTCTAATTAAATTAATTCGTATTTTTAAAATACTTAAAAAATAAATTTCAGAGTTTGATATACTTCACTATTATTTTTGCAAAAATTTACTCAATTATTGTAATCTTAATAGAATTAGAATTCAATAATATTTAAGAACTCGATAGGATGACATCTTAAAATATGTATATCGATTATTAAGAGATTATGCTTGAAAGTGTCTTAAATTCTTAAAGATTTTGAGATAAAAATGATTTAATATATTTTTAAAAATAGGTAAATTATCTTATTTATTAACTAAATTATATAAATTTTAAAATGTAAATATATTTTTATTTAACAGTTGTCATGATAAAAAGATATCTATGTTAAAAACAGAGAATTTGGTTTAGATAATAGTGTTCTAATACAAATTGAAATAAATATATAAATAATTGATAATAAATTTGTGCACACTTGATTGTAACAGTATTAGAATTTTAATAATACGTATTTGGTGCATTATAAGTGAATACAGTTCGAATCTTGTGATTTAAATATTCTTTTGTAAATTATGAATTCATTCTTGCTCTATGATCAACAATTTCTTATTCAGCAATAACTTTTGCTTCAATAACTTGTTTAATTTAACTCATTGTTAGCTCTAAGGTAAGTTTTAATTTGATATATATGATTAGAACTGCTTGCTCTCTTTAAATACAATAAAGTCCTTAAATTTAACCCTAATCTCCAAAAGACATCAATACTATTGAGCATAATACCATAAAAAATGATGAGATTCATGATGAATAAAGTTCATTTGAACTATCTAAATCTCAGAAAATATCCAAAACTATAAAAAAATAAAAGGAAATAAAGATTAACAACTTAAATTCTTCTCAAAAACACACTAAAAAAAGGATATTCTTATCAATGAAAGACATTAAGGATGTTTAATATAAAAAGTATTAAGTTTAATTATTCTAGACTTAAAATCCCTAATGATAACAAAAATGAAGAGGTAATAACGAAATAAGAAGAGAAGAATTGATATATTAATTACTCTCCATAATATTTATATATAAATGTCAATCCTTATTTTCGAATTACTTTTTGAACTTAAACAATAAATAAGTATATTTTTATAAAAAATCATTATAAAAGTCCATCTGAAGTAGCATTTCCAGTTGTTAAATAGAAGTAAAGACAAGCATACAGCAACCATTCATTATAAGGGTTAATATAAATTTATATAATTTTAATGAGAAATAAATCGTATGATCCGTCATTAATTAAATTACATCGATTTATTATGTTAAATTATAATAAATATATATAATTTATAATAATAATTATTTACATTATAAAATTTTTTTATTAAATAATCAAATGTATCTTATTGTTTCCTCTTTATATTACATTAATATCTTACAAACAATCTTACTAAATTAATTTAAATAAAATTATAATAATTTTCTCAAATTTTAAAAACATTTTTATTATAAATTAAAAAACATAAAAATGAATAGTGACATTCAAGTAAAATGATATAGATTATATAATTTCTAAAAAGAATAAGAAATCTTAACACTTCAATTAAACTAAGATATGAATATAGAAAATAAAAGAGGAAAGGAATTCATGAATAAAAATTCTAAAATAAATAATATTAATTATGCTGTTTTTGATATTAATTGCATTAGCATCTTCATTAAGAATTCCAAAAAACTTTTTCATTTCTAATATTGAGCGTACAGTGTCATTATCTGATAGATATGTATAAATTCAATCTAAAGTAATAATGAAAATAATTTTAAGATAACATTTTAAAATGATGGTGTAATTCCAATTGAAAAGATTTATTATACAATCCATAATGCATTATTAGATAGATTATATAATGTCAATATAGATGAAAGCAACTCGAATAAAATAATAGAAGATGTGGATGTGAAATATAAATAGAATGCGACAGTCTATGAATTTACATTATCAAGACCAATTGAACCATCATCTAATTTGGAAGTAGAATTATAAGAGCATTATTATAAAAGATATAAACCATTACCAAAAGAGATTGGATTAGAAGTATTTGTCATAATAAATATAATTAGGATGAATAATTAGTCTAATTTATGGATTCCGTATATTTTTTCACTCCTTATTTAGTAAAGAATCAAATAACTTATTATGAGACACCAAAAATTATGTAATGATTTTATATAAATAATAGCTCTTATTCATTGAAATCAGCAACTTAAAGAAATTAACTTTTAGAATTTGGACCATTTTCTGACATTAAGCCTTTTTCTACATAAATTCATACAATTCATTTAGAGAATAATACACCAATGACTATTTTTACAAAAGCTTCAAAAATAGTGGAAGTGTCTCATTGGGGAAATATATTAATAGAAGAAAATTATTCAATAGAAAATCAAGGAGCAAAGTTGAAAGGAGAATTTGGTAGAGTGAATTTCAATAAATACAATCCTAATGTAGGAAAACATTCTTTAAAATAATTATCTGCATCTCTTCCTTATGATTCATGGGGTGTTTATTATAAAGATGAAATAGGAAATATTTCTACATCAAATGCTGCTAAAGGGGTAACATTATTATACATGATGATTTTTAGAAACTTAATGGAGAAAGTTAAGCCTTAATTTAATTAAGACCTAGATTTGCTATATTTGGAGGATGGAGAAGCAATTTTACATTAGGATATAATTTACCAACTAAAAAGTATTTATTATTTTAAATTAGTTAGATATTTAGAATAAGATGGAAATAATTATAGATTAACCTTGAATTTTTCATTCTCTGTTAAAGAAATGGTATCTGATAAATATAACTTTTAAATTTCCTTACCTGAAGGAGCTTATGATATATAAATTGATTTACCTTTAGATGTTTAAAGAAATGATACATTATTGTTTTCCTATTTTGATACAGTTGGTAGACCTACAATCATTTTAGATAAAGCTACCACTAGTCAATTTGATAATAAGAGAATTATTGTAATTATTATATATTTTTATTTTAGATTACTTATAAACTTTCTGGATTATCTATTTTAAGAGAACCTCTAATGATTTTTGGAACATTTTTATTCGCCTTTTTATTGATAATTTATTTAAGAAGATTAGATTTGTAGACATTAAAATTAAAAGAGTGATATATATAAAATTCATATATTTAATAATTAATCCTTTAAAAATTGCAATGTGTCCCCTGATAATTAATTTAATTACCTTAAATTACAATTAGGAATTTTTGGTCTTGAAAATTTCTAAAATTTCTACCAACAAATAGCCTAATCAAAGCTCCCCGTACTTTAATCTGAATAATCATAATAATCATCTGGTATAATAACATCATCTTGATCTTTTATATTAATTCTTATGTTCTTTAAATTTGAAATGAAATCATTCAAAGAAATCCTTTTATCACTCTAAGATTCTAGGCATCTTGAAATTAAAATTATATAATCTTAATGTAATGTTTATTCTTTTAATTCTTAATTTAATACTGAGCTAATTAAATTTAAGTTTATATTTGAATACTCTTCAGGATCAAATAGCATAGCCTTCTTGACTGGAGGATAGATTCCATTATTTGCCATTTAGAATACTAAATGATTTTAATATATTACACGTTAATCCAAATTGCCAAATATCACTAGAAAAATCATATATAGTTCCAAAAGATTCAGGAGGATTATAATTATAAGTACTAGAAAAGATTGTATTTTCTTCACTAGAATCTTCTAAATAAAAATCCTTTTATTCATATATTTATTCTGTTTTTATTCTTCTTGATCTATCAAAATCTGCTAGTTTAATATTTGCTTTTTCAATATCAACACTTGTCAAAAATATATTTTATGGTTTAATATCTCTATGTAAAATTTACTTTTTATGCAATTCAGATAAAGCCATTGCTAATTACATAGCAAATTTATATTATAATTTTTTAAGAAGAATTTTTTAGTTTGAATCTTCAAATAATTAATCCAAAGTTAATGGATATTCTTGATAAAAAAAAAATAAATGTTTTTGTATTCGAAGATATGATAAAAAAGTTGCAAATTTAGAACTATTTTAAAGTTATTCATTAAATTGTAATTCTCTTTAATTTTGTAATTATCGATATTCAATTACTTCTAAATTATCATCCATAATTCTAGGAACTTTTATAAAAATGTGGTTTTTAGCTTGAGGATAAATTGAAAACAAAGCAGGCTTTTTTGTTGAAAAAGTGAAGGAATTACAACCTCTTAATTTTGATTCTATATTTTCTATTTAAAATAAAATTTTGACATAATTCAAATGAGGACAACCTTAATCAAAATAATCAAGTTTTAAAATTTCTATAAGTTTATCTGTAGTGCTTTCATAATTATTTATACAATATTTGTTTGCAATACTAAAATATTTATGAACTTAAAATACTAATTTTAATTACCAAATTATTAAAATGATTCAAAATCACATGATCCAATTTCATCAAATTTAAAATGTAAAAAACTAAGATGCAATACATTTTCAATTATATAAATGTTGTTGAGATTCAAGATATAAGGAGGAAAATTACGTTTTTGTAATTCTTGTAAAGCTATGAAAATATAGTATAAAATTAGTAATACATACTTATGCAAAGTTATGTTATTATAAACAATTACTTTTATTCATGTAAAGTATTTCTCTAATTCAGTAATTAAAAATTGTTTAAATAAGTTGATTGTGTCATATAAGTATAGTTTTATTCATAATAGATATTTTCAGGATGTATGATGTTTGCTAACCTTATTTAGTTTAATTTTTCAATTTAATAAGGTATACTTAATTGCAGTGATTAGGTTTTTGATATTCTCTTATAAGGAATACGATAAACTATGTAATCTTGTTCAGATTATCTTCGGATGCATTTATAAATCTTAGTTTATTCTATTTTAAATACTGCCATAGAATGTGATTCTTTTATCATAATAAATTTATAATAATCTCTTCCTATCTCCATTTCTTCAAAATAGTTATCTAAAGCTAAATTTTTTTCTATTTAAGTTTAAAATTTCTATAACATAATAATAAATAATATTAATGTATTTATGTTTAATGTATAATTTTTATATTATCACTAATCATTATTCTACGTTTAATTCAACATTAATTCCTGGACCAATTTTGAAGTTTGTAATATCTTTGAAAGTTGGTAAATTGCATTAGAAATCAATAACTCTTTTATGAATCTAATCCTTAAATAATTTTAATACTCTCATTTCAAATCTATCCCAAGTTTTTGAACCTTCACCACAAGGACTCTTTCTAACAGTCATTTTAAGATGCTTTGTTGGCATTCTGACTGGTCCTTTGAAAACAACTTGTTAGCCTTAATCTCTCTTAATTTTCATGTTTAATCATTACTTAGATTCCTCTAGCTTTTTCAATAACTTAAGTAGTGAAATTTTCTAAATCTTAAGCACTTCTAGATGTTACAATCATTCTAATTTTTTTTACTTATTGTTCGTCTTCTACTTTCTTCTCTTTCAAGTCAGCCATAATATTTTTGGTTTTTTAAAATATATTTTTAATAAAAGATTTAAAATGAATTTCTTCTATTTGTTCATTTATTATATTATTATTTACAAAATCTCTAAATCTTCTTTGATTCTATTTTACAACCCATCTCTTTCTTTACAAAGAACAAAATATATATTCAATATGTTAAATTATATTCAATAAATAATTTATCATTCAATTATTTCATTGATTTTGCAAAGGTTTAGATATTTCTTAATTTTATCTAAATTATATTTTAGATAAAGTTAATCATATAACATAACTTTCCTAAAAATTATTAATCTTTAACATATTTAAATTATTATTTAGAAAATTTCTAAATTGGATTGATGAAATAATGATTTAAAAAAAGAGTGATTAAAATAATAAAATTGTGGAGACAAATTTATGTAATATGATTAATTTTATGTTAAAATAAATATTTTTTTACTTTGTCAGATTAAGAATCTAAATTAATTAAAAAATAATTGAAAAATATATATATTTTAAAATAAGAGATGGTAAAATTCTTTTTAAGAATTCTTTCTAATTGAAAATGGTAATGAAAAATAGAAATTGAATTTTGCAAGTTGTCAGCATTAAATTATTTAGTTAGTTTAAATTGAAGTATCAATTTAATTTAATAATAAAATATCTTGAATATATATGATGTTAAAGAATTACATTTTCTGTTTATATAATGTAAAATTTACTGATTCTTAAGACTATAGAATTGATAATAATTCTTGTAATGCTTCTTATAATAATTTAAATGATAAAATCTCAAAATAATAAAGGCATCAATTTGTCATAATCTATCTTGGATGACAGTCCAGAATTTTGGATTCAAAGACCTTAAATATTAATTCAATTTTAGCTATCAGATGAACTATTGGTTGTTAATAGGAATAGATTAATATAAAAGACAATATTTTTTGGAAGTCATTATCTGAAGTATGGAGAAGATGTATGAATAATTTTATTTATTAAACAGAAATTCCTTGATGTTAGAAATCTATTGTTAGAAATAGTTTATCATCCAAGAACATCTCAATCAGGATTCAGATTAATGAAAAATGGTGAAAAACTGGATGTATATGGAGACACTTAAAATTGGATAGATGTCTTAAAAAAGTATACAATCTAATCAAATTTATAACAAAAATATAAAATAATTAAGAAAATAGGAGAAGGAAGCTAATATCAAGTATATATAACTTTATATTCACATTAAAGGTTTTCAAAATTAGAAACAAACTAACTGGATAAGAAAATGCAGTTAAGATATATGATAAATTGAAGCTACATAATTCTCCATACTTGCTTGAGCTTATCAAAAAGTAAATTAATATGAAAAGACAATTTGAACATAAAAATTTAATTCGCTTATTAGAAATTTTCGAAAGTGCTAATCATCTTTATGTTATTGAAGAATTGATTGAAGGAGGAAATTTAGAAAGCAAAATTTCATCAACTACATTTAATTAATAACAAATTATATTGATTATAAAATAGACATTAAATGGATTATAGGAAATGCATAAAAGAGGATTTATTCATGGAGATGTTTGCTTAAAAGCAATAGGATTTAAAAATGAATAAGATATAGATTCATTATGTTTATTACATTATTCTAAAGTGATGTCAATAAATGCTGCAAGAAATTCAACTAAAAAAATGCTAAGTCAAAGACCTTCTCTTAAAAATGATAAAACTCACACTTCTGATTTACAATAATTAGGAATTATTTTGATTAGATTACTTACCGGATATTAATTTAATCAATTCAATTTACCTAGTTAAATGGATGATATTAAAAGCATTTTAAATTTTCAATAAACTAGTAAGGAATTAGAGGTATTACTATAATAATTACTGTTAATTGATTTTGAATTATAACTTAGTGATACAAATACTCCTCTTGAAGTATTAAAAAATGATATATTCAAAAAATAAATAGAGCCTTCTAATTTCATCTTAAAATATCAGACTATAAATGATATAAGAAGATAAAGTGAATAAAGTAATAATAGTGATGATGAATCAATGGAAATTCGCTCAAGAGTCAATACATTACCAAATATTTAAGATAGAAAAAGCGACTCAAGAAGTTTGTCCAACAGAACTAAAAATATGGTATCTCCATTAAAAATATCAAAATTTAATAAAATTGATATATTTGTTAAACCTCCTTCATAAATTTCATAAAGAAGATCTAGTAATCTATATTAACTACCAAGAATGAATCTCATGCCTAAAATCAAGTAAAAAGTTTAGTGATTATAAATATATTGTTATTACTCTAAATTAATAAATAATGTTTACATCTCTATATTATGTATTAACGTTAAGTTTCATTTCAATTTTAATTTAACTTTTCTTATTCTCAAACAAAGTTTTAAAATGAATTTAAAGTAAAGTTGGTAATTCTTCAGTTTTTTTAATTAAAATTAACTTTCAAAGAATAACATATTGATTTCTTAGTAAATGTCATTTGGTATTAATTATTTATTTATATATGTAAATTGCAATATTCAGAGATAAATATTTTAAATAAAATAATTAAATAAAATTAGAATTGAAAGAAAAGTGGTAAACAATAAAAATATTTAATTGAAATGAAGATTTTTTTAGTTAAAAATAAAAATTATATGATAAAAAAATAACTATTGTAAATTGGTTCAGCAGATTCCTTTTTCAATAATCATACATCCTTATATTCATTCCATTCAATTAACCCTTTTATTCCATAGTATGAAGGAGAGTTTTAAATCAATTATTAGAACAGATTAGCAATCAAAATTTTGGCAATAGGGTAAAATTTCATTAAATTTGATGATAATGTATTAAAATTATTTAGTTGATAGAAATTTATCAATTTAAAGAATGTTTGCATGTAAAAAATATATCATCCAAAAACAGGACTATTTGGAATTAAACTCTCAAAAAATGGAGTTTGTTTAGATATCTTTGGTTTATCTGATTAGTTGATTGAAATTATGAAGAAGTATACAATACAGTTTGATTTTGTATTAAAGTATTAACTATTAAATAAACTTGGAGAAGGATATTCAACAATTGTATATCTTATTATAAATATTAGGTATTTAGAGCTAGAAATAAATAAAATAGATAAGAGTATGCAGTTAAAGTATTTGATAAAAAGAGACTTCTTATAAATAATTTTGAAGCTAAAAAGTTCATGAAAGAATTAAAAATAATTAGATGTTTGGATAATCATAATTTACTGAAGTTTTAAGAAATTTATGAAAGTAATAATCATATTTATGTAATATTGGAATTATTAAGAGGTGAAAAACTTTCATCAATTGTTAAAAAACAACATAATTTAACAGAATAAGAAATTTTGACAATAATGAAACCTCTATTTAAAGCTGTTCAATATTTGCATGATCAAAATATTTATCATAGATAAATTTGTATTTAAAGCATAATATTTAAAAATAAAAATGATTTATCGGAACCATGCTTAATAGATTTTAATTAAGCAGAATAAATACTTAAAGGAGATTAAGAGGATGAGTTCAATATATTAGTAAATCCAGAGAAACAAATTTAGTTTAATATCAAATTTGATGTAGTATCTTTAGGAATAGTGATGTACAATTTATTAACAGGGAGTTTGTATGAAACAAATTAAGTTATAAATGATGCGATGATGTGTGAATTTAGAGGAGTCTTAAATTTATAATTTATTGATCCTCCATTATCGGATCTATGTTTTGATTTTATAAACACAATCTTCAACCAAGGTTCCAAATTAAAAACTTGTAAGTAATTATTGGCTCATCCTATTTTTGATTAAGAAAATTAGAAAACATCTAAAAATTTAGGAATTCATTTAATTGGAATTTTAGATTAAAATTCAAGTAGATTTCAGATAAATTCTAAATAATCTCAAAGATCTCCTAAGACAATTAAAGTTGTTTCTCTAAAAAAAGGATTCAATTTCTTGTCTAAAAGTCCTTAAGAAAAATCTAATGCAAATAGTGATTACTTTGAACCTCCAAAATCTCATTTAATGTTCAGAAGAGGCAGTAGATAAAAAAGAACATTGAATTTTTAATAATAATAATGATATCAGTAATCAATGAAATAGCTGAATTACTATTAAATATATTTGACATATTTTTGATATTTTGTTTTATTCTAATTTTAAAAAAGAATATTTAAATAACTAAATAAATATTACAATTGTTCTATTCATTTAAATATTATTTCTCAATTAATATCTTATATTTATTATACTATATGATTAAATAATTTTAAGAAAGTGAACGTTAAACTAAGAAAGCATTAAATATGTTTTAAATTGAAAGGACAGATCTTTTTTTTAATTAAATTTATGGGTTATGATGTATTAACGAAAATTAATGGAAATTTAGAAAATAAATAAACTACAATTATAATGATGGATAAATAAATAATATGGATTCTTATATTGTTAAAAGTAACTGAATCATTAACAGTAAGTAATAATATTTGTTCATGCTCTTCTTTATAAACAGCATTTGATTGTAATTAACTTAGTTAATGTGAATGGGATTTATCTTCAAAAGCATGTATAGGGGCTAGATAAATAGCTTATTATTCACTTCTTTGTACATCTTTAAGAAATGGAATAAAATGTGCTTAATAAAGAGGATGTGCCTTTTTAAATAAGAAATGTGTAATATTTAGTAATTGCTAATCTTACATAGCAACATCAAATTTAGAATGCTAAAGGTATTCAATGTAATGTAATTGGTCTCTTTTAAATAATTATTGTACAGAAGAAAATGTTTGTAGTGAATATAATGGCGAAGATAAATAATCTGGTTGTGAATCGATTAGATAATTAAATGGAGAAAGCTCATGTTTATTTAATACATAAACAAAATAATGTAAATAAAAGGAATGTAAAGATTATTTTAAGAATACAAATGAAGATTGTAAGGAAGTGCTTCTAAATTAAAATTGTATAACTGATAAAAAGACATGTGTAAAAGAACTTAACACTTGTGATTCATATACAATTGAGGATTGTTTAAATGTATTGACAAAGAATGGAGAATGTGAAATCAATAATAATACACATAAATGTTAACCTAGAACTTGTGGATTGGCTCCAGATGCGTCATCAGATGATGCATGCAAAAAGTATAAATCTACATGTTTATCAAATAAAATGAAATGTGTAGACTAATTATCTTTATGTTCAACTTATTCAATTGATGAATGTCTGATTTTAAAAGGATAAAAAGGAGATTGTTAATTAAATTCAGAAAGTTCATAATGTAAAGATCCTTCTTGTGATAATTTTTAAGGATCAACAAATGATGAATGTAAGAAAGCTAGCCCAGATTTAAATTGTATATCTAATGGAGTTTAATGTGTTTCATCCTTAGCTGATACTTGTACTAAAGTTAAGATTCTTGAGAATACAACTTGTGATTAATACATTAGTAAAGAAGGTTAATGTAAATCCTAAAGTGAAGAATCAAAAACTTGTATTTTAGATTAATGCCAAAATAAATAATATGATTCAGATGAATAATGTAATAAATATTCATCAAAGGATACAAATATGTCTAGAATATGTGTTTCAAATGGAGTGATTTGTACTACTTAGTTACTATCATGTAATAGCTATAAGAAATCAGATGGATGTTTTAAATATAAAGGTTAAGATGGGAAATGTATAGATAATGATTCTTCTGAGAATTGTTAGGCAACTCCTTGTGAATAAATATTATAACCAAGTTTATCTACTTGTTAAACTACAAATCCTAATTGTAACTTTGATGGACAGAGTTGTGTAGCAACATTAAGATCTTGTGATTATTATACATCTAAATGTGATACTATCATTACATCTAATAAATAACCATGTATAGAAGATCCTAATAATCCTGAAAAATGTATAGAAAAAACTTGTAATACTGCTCCCACTTCTATTAAAACAGATGAAGAATGTGATCAATATCTAACAAAATGTTTAACTAATGGATAAGGTTGTACTGATAAATTATCAACTTGTGATACTTATAGTGGTACATTTTAATAGTGTGATAAATTGATTGGCTCTGATGGTAAATGTACTGGAATAAGTAAAAGTCAAACTAATGAAAAATGTAAAGTTAAAAATTGCTAAGAATCTAGTACAGCTAATGAATAAGCATGTAAGGCTTACACTAAAAATTGTTTATATAATAGTAGAATACATTAATGTTAAAATGCTGTTGAATAATGTAAATCTATAGATAATTAAATTACTTGTGAATAAACATTAAGTAATG